GCCAGCTCCGCCGGCTTGACCGGTCAACGGCCCCTTTTGCACCATGCGCCGGCCCACCAGAGAAGTTCCCATGAAGGCAGTAGCGTCCTGGATGTTGCCGGCCATATCCATCACCTGAGCGGGCACCCAAGAGGCGTCATGTCCAGACTCCTTCCCAAGCTCAGTTCGGGCGAACTTGATATGGTCCCGTAGCTGGCTCGCACATCCTCCGTGTAGCGGTCTCCATCCGGAGTCAACACGAACCAGTGGCCACCCGAGTGGCGCCAGAGCAGGATCCTCTCGTGATACACGTCGTCATCCTCATAGAACACCGCCAGAGTCTGCCCCGGAATCAGACTTGACCAAAATGCCATGACCTCGCCTACGAGGAGAAGGTCCAGGGGCTCGCGCAGGAAGTTCCTTGCCCCCCTTCTTCTTCACCAGCAGGAAACCCAAAATGCTAGCGCCGCAGCCCAGGGCACAGCCTGTCGTCAAAGTGCCAAGATGCCACCCAGCTTGCTCCTTGCAATCAGTGATGCAGCGACACTCGCACACACACTCCGAAGAAGGTGGAGCGATCGGCCACACTGGCACCGAAGACTTATGACAGAGATGGGCGAAGAAGGCAGCTAAAACGGTTTCCCACTTCATCTTCTGAGCAAGAAACTGAGTTGGATAACACGACATGCCACATGCGAGCCCATCAATCACGTGTTCCACACTTCTATGTGTTGTAGCCCCGGTCTTCCGCGATTTCTCCACACCACACGAGCCAGAAATCGTAACAAATCGCAGCCTCTCTATTCTGTGAACTTTACGCAACAAGGCTCCTAACAATTGGCACCCCCAGTTTGTGTGATCTTTGCGCAACACACAAGCCGGGACGCGTAACAAACCGCACCCTCCCAGTCTCCGGTGACAAATCGACGCACACACACACATGCAACACACAAGTCACGGTCCGTGCCAAATCGCGCCGCCAATCTTCTGTGATGCTTGTGCAACACACAGGATAGGGCTCGCAACGAGTCGTACCACTCTGTCTTCTGTGAGCTACAAGTAGTACACAACACACAAGCCAACGTACAAAACAAATCGTGCCCCGGCCGTCTGTGATCTTTACACAACCCGCAAACCATGGTTCGCTAGCAAATCGTGCTCCCTGTTTTCTGTAATGTTTGCACAGCGCACGCACACACAAGCCAGGGCTCGTAACAAACCTTACCCCTAATCTTCTGTGTTCTTTACCCAACAAACAAGTTCTGGAGATGTTCGTCAGAAATCGTACATCCTGTCCTCTGTCATCCCACATAAAGGCTTTCGCAAGAATTTTTCGGGATTCCAAACGAGCGGCAGTGGGGGTGGGCTCAGCCCGCACGGCCGTGGAAATACACGGCTCGCATCAAGGGTTCGGAAAGCATCCGCTTTGAAGCAAGCTTTGCGCATCTCAAAAATGGGTGGTCGCCAACACAATGCTGGCATCATGGGTTTGGAAAGGATTCATATGCTTTGACCCCCCCCACCATGGATTGGAACTCGAACTCGAACTCGATTCAGCAGCGGTCTGGTCTGACCTACTAGCTAGCTGTAGCTCATGACATATGTCACGGCCGCTCTGTGGCGGCGATTAACAGCTTCGGGTATGGACATGCAAGGCAACTGCACAGGAACCGAAGTTCAACAAACTGTGCAGTACAGGGTCTCCAGCGCTCACAGTCGCTCAACCTAGCGTTCTCGCGCTTACTAACTAGGGAGTAGACTGTGACAGCTCAGCTGAACAGTGAATGAATTGTCAAAAAACGAAGAAAGCAAAAACACATCACGCCACTCTGCCTTGGGCAGGGGGCCGGAAACGGCAACCCCGAGACAAGTGCTGCGCAAGCCCTGTACACTGTACAACTTCAGCACTGAGCTACAAAATGGTCAGCTCAATGATGGATCTCACTCATGAAAGGCAGTCAGTTGAGGACCTCCATGGAGGGACGGACTCAGAGTCCACTAGAGCATCGAAATGCACTCCACAGGCCAATTTCAAGTGAAACGGAGTCCACAACAAGCCCACAAAAAGAGAACCATCAGAGCAATCCCAAGAACACCTCAGCGGCAGGTACACAGCGTAGGGGACCATCACGTTGAGGAAGCCCAATGCACCCACCAGATAAGAAATTAAAACAAATAGCAGCAGCATATTGAATAGAAGGGCCGATAATACGGCGCCCCCGCCCACAGGCCAGGTTGCCGTGAAGCCTGGCAATCGCAAGTGGCCGGGGTGAGTGCGTGGTACTGCTCCAGCACATGCATTGTACAAGCAAAGAACTGAGTCAAAGATGGTCAGCTCAACGATGATCCAAACTCATAGGGCAGACAGTTGAGGACCTCCATGGAGAGTCTGGTACTACAGTGACTCGTCGCATCGCGCAAGTTGCCTCATTGCCCGAAAACTCGCCATGGGCCGACCCACGAACTCCCAGAAGGGCTAGGTGGGAAACAGGAACGAACTGTCCACAACGAATGTCGTCACATATCCTTCCAGCTGTTGCAACCGAAGGTGAAAGCACCATGAGGTGGGCCATCAGAGCAGTCCCAGACGTCGCCTCAGCAAAAACGAATTCATCTGCATAGAGACAGACTGTAGCAGCACAATGTAGGGGCCGAAGACGGCGCCCTGCCCATAGGCCTGATTGCCGTAAAGCCTGACAACCGCAAGTGGCCATACATTCATCCCAAAATGCCTGATTGCCGCAAAGCCTGGCAACCGTAAGTGGCAATGAATAGTCATACAACATGAATAACAAAAGCAAATACGAAATAAATAAACCAAGCACTGAGCATAGGCGCGAGCTCGCTGGCAATTGAAAACACTGTACCTTGCAGTCCGCCCCGAAGCGTTGGTGCGTACATAATGCCTGGCCAGTATCTTCGCCCACACATGAAGCCCAGGTGATCACGAACCTGATTGGCTCCCGCTGCAGCACTGGAATCTGCAGCAACCCTCACTTCTACCAGCAATACTTTTGGCCTGTCTTCAGTGGCCCATCCAGGAATGCTGGTTGCCGGACTTGGGACCAACACGGCTCGTAAAATAAAGAAGAGCGGTCCTGCAGTGAGGATGCTTGAAGGTGTCACTCGTGTATCTCCCAACCGTAGGGCTAACTGCGTTTGCGCAACCAGCTCATCAAGTGGCAAAGGCGTCTCCAAAAACATCCAATAGCAGAATGCCATGCAAATACCATACCAGATCCATGAAGGCCAGTGAGTGCACCGAGGACAACCTGAATGCACGGGTCTCTGACATATCGCCATCGTCATTGCATCTGTGAATGGGTGCCGAAGTGCGGCTTCCCCAGGCTCAGTATTGAGAAACCATGTGCAAAAGCAAGAACTACAGCGTCCGGAGGGGGTCCAGTTGAACAGAGAACCTGTTTGGCCTCGAACCCGGTTGACCCCCTACCAAAAGAAACATGTGACCCGAGCAGAGAAGCTTCACCATGGATTGGAAAGGATTCATATGCTTTGAAGCATAGCTTGAGAAAAGACAGGGGGGGGGGGTCGGGGAGGTGAAGATCTGACATCAGCTGGGTAGTTATGTCCAATACCAATGCATGTTGCTCTCATGCTCAAGGTTCTAGCTGATATCATTCTACTCCGAAGGCACCTGGAGTGAAACAGAGACTTCTGTGCGCCTTGCTGACTGTACCTTAGGGAGGTCAGTAACCCTTACATCTTAACGTGGTAGCGGAGCTTGCTGGGACTGTGCTTTGTTTTAACGGAGGTTGTATGCTTGGAAGGACCCCCCCCCCCCCCCCCCGCATCTGCATGCTCGGCTGATGAAGCTCGCTCTACAATTGCAAGCCTGCACTGGATGGTGAAGCAGACATGATATTGCTACAACTCCCCGCTGTGCCACAGTTCGGAGCAACATACAAAGCTCACTCAGCCCTATGATATCCTGCGCCTGCCCGTTTCTGATTCGCAGTTTCTGACTCGCACGGGTTTCTGATGCGTAGTTTCTGACTCGCGCGAGTTTTCTGACGCGCGCTGGTTTCGGATGATTCGCAGGGCAGTTTCTGATTTTCTTGTTGATCGCCGAGTTCTTGCCTTAGTGGCCAAACGAGAGGTGCCCCACAGGTGCTCTTGAGTGGCGAAACTTGAGGTATCCCAGCCGGGATGTCCTGCCCTGTTATCCCAGGTTCTTGCCTGGTGGGCCACCTGGTGGGCCACCTGGTGGGCCAAACTTGAGGTGTCCCAACCAGGTGCTTAAAACTTGAGGTGTCAAATTTGAGGTATCCCAACCAGGCCTCAGCGGCCAAACCTGAGGTATCAAACTTGAGGTGTGTACAAGGCAAGAATCCGGCCGGGCTACCTCACAAGTTTGGCCCCGAAAGCAAGGCAAGAGCCTGGGGTACCGCAAGTTTGGTGGCCACTAGAAGCTGGGACTCCTGAAGTTTGAAGGCAAGAAAAAAGCAAAAACGGCCACTCAGTAAGGGTTGGGATACCGCAAGTTTGGTGAACCCGGTTGGGATACCTCAAGTTTGGCCAGGAGCCGGTTGGGATACCCCCCCCAACACCCCCCCCAGCTTTTCTGGTTTCGTCAGAAAAGACTTTGTTGTCATTTAGACCATAATTCTCTATTCATTCTCTCTACTCTTCTGATTTTCGAAACATGAACACAAGGAACAGAAACAAGAAACGAGGGGGGTGGAATTTAGATCAATTCTCAATCATCGCACTTTGGCGCTCTCTGGCGCTCCTTGGCGTCTTCTGGCGCTCTTTGGCGCAACTCCTTTTCTCGCAGCTTCTCGCAAAAAATGCTTTTCGATTTCCTGTGTGCTTCTTATACTAGGGAATCTACGCTTTTCTCGCAGTGCGTATACCGTGCAATACGTCTTACGGCTATGAATTCCTGGAAGAAACTCCGCAAATTATCAGCGAAACCCAAAGAGAATCTGTCGAGAACCTGTCGAGAACTTGCTACCGTCTGTCCCATCCCTGTTTCGAGAACGTGAGAGCGGGTCGAGATCCTTGATGAGCTTTGCCAAGGCTGCCTCTGTGATCACCACCTCAGGATCAGAAGAGCAAATTTGAGAAGAGGGGAAGGAACGCGCTCCACCCGCTTGCGCTTAAGCGACAAGACAAGGGGAGGACCTCCTGTGGCCTTCTGTGGCTGATTTTTTCTGAAACTTTAGAGATTGGAGAGAGGACGGAGCGAGGGGAGAGATGGGAGAGGGAGGGCAAAGAGAGGAGAGAGAGTTGAAGTGCTGCGTTTACAATGAGACAATTGAAAGAAAGAAGAGAGAAAACATGATAAAAGAGATAATCTCTGCTCTTTCGGCCCCCGGCTTGGTGGTACTTCAAGAGGTTGTACACATTCAGCCCCTCTCACCCAGAAAGGGAGCAACACGAGAGTGCATTCGTCAGTGTTCTGTAACCATCAAGTTCAAAAAATAGGACGCAGAAGATTGCGCACAACACATCTCCAACAAAAAACAACTAAACGACGGCCCGAGCACTCGGCCCCCCTGCCTCCACATTCTCCCGGCGGATGGCTGGAATGTGTGCCGCAGCCCAGCCTCTGAAAACCAAAACGCTGCAGAAAAAGGGTGCCGAGGATGCCACACCAAAGGCCATCTTATGAGCATATGTGCAATGCAATACCTTGCTGACTCTATCGACTCAGACCCACACAGTCTCACCAGTATACTTACTCGCACAAACTAGCATGCGTCTCTCACTCTCTCACACGCTTCTCGCACGACGGCTCGCCAAGGTGCGGCAGTTGTCGTTGATGTCGACATTTCCTTAGCTACGTTGCAGCTGTCGAAAAGGGAAGGCTTTGTTGTCGCATGTCTCCGTGCAGCAAATGCTCACAACTTAGAGCATGTCCTTCGTGCACCAGCAAAGCGCTGTGGCACCTGCGCAGGTGCTCAGCCCACGCGGAGAAGCGTCAAACAACATGGGTAACATGGGATCTTCTCATCGAGGTGGTCGATAAATGTTCCAACATGTTGAGAACAGCCTTTAAGCCTGTCAGACCGAGTGCACCGCTTTTTCTGCTAATGCCCAACGACTCAGAAGAAAGACTGGTCAGCCCTCAGCTCAGAATCAGGGCTTACAAGTCTCACGCACTCACAGAGATTTCCCCGCAGTTCTCAACAGAGTCCTTTTTTGGGATTGGGAGTGGACGCCCTGGGGACCCCATGTTTACGGTGGTTTTGTAAATTTATGACGAGTTCATACGTTTTTTTTTTGAAATAATTCGCGTATCATGGTATTTGGATGCCAGATACGCTTGTTTGTGGATTTCCATGGATAAAGGCCAAAAAATAAACGGAGGGGGGGGGGGCGCAAAAAAGCGGAAGGCCCTCCCTTTTTCATTTTTCAAGGAGGATGCCCCCCCCCCCCCCCCCCCATCAAAAAAAACCAGTCTCCCTCTCTATCCCTATACCCCTAATCTCCCTGGTAATGTCTACAATGTTAGTTGAGTTTTGCATGTGGCAGTGTGTCTCGAGTATGGCACGTACTAGTTGGGTCGTGTATTTTGCTGCAAGAAAGTATACTACAAGGATACTGATAGCATGCCAGAAAGAGAGAGAGAGAGATATATATATATATATATATATACACTACTAATACTTTAATATGCTATAGTCTAAATTTGATTCTATACCATGGTATTTAAGAATCTAGTAGCTAGACGTTTAAACAAAACACATACCAAATCCGCCGAGGCCTCGGGCCGGTCCTCCAAATCCTCTCCCCACACCCAAAGCCCTTTTTCGGACCCCTTTTTTTGGCCTCAAATGGGTACCCCGCTGAAAAACCGGGCGCCAGGACCAGAGGCAGTTGACCCACCCTCCCCCCCCCCCCCCCCAACCTCCCCCCCCCCCACCCCCACCCCCCTCCCCCTACCCCCCCCTCCCCTCCCCCCACCCACCCTGCCGAAGAGTCGCCTTAAACCTTAAGGGGCCTGGCTCAACCCTTCGATCACTCCAAGCCGAACCCTAAACCCAAAAAAACCCTCAACCCCAAAGCGTGAACCTTGAGCCCTAAACTAACCCTCAAACCCAAACCCCAAACCATAACCATAAAAACCTCAACCCCAACCCTCAACCCTCAACCCAACCCTTATTGCTTGGGTCCAGCGACTTGGGCGCTGCGGATCACCATGCTCACGGGATGCGCTGGGCCGGGCCGAGGCGGGTCGCGTAGCGTTAAAATTAACTTATATTCTTATATGGAGGCAGCAGCTTGATCGTCCAAAGCCTCGTGGAAAAAGTGGGCCCCCACAGCGTTCCTTTCTGTTTTTCCCCCCCCCCCCCTCTTTGCCCGACAGCTCTCAATTGCAGATGTCGAACCTGCGGCCAAGCAATCGCCGCAGATGCTGCACCTCTTTCGGAGACGGTGCTAGAGATCCCCTTTTTTTTTGGTTAGATTTGTTGAGAGCAAGTGATGCGGAGGGGCAAGTTGGGAGAGTAACCTATTCCGCCCTGATATGGGGAAGAGCTTGAAGACGGGGGCTTTGTTTGACAAGACAACAGTCCAAGAGGATCTCGCAAGTCTCAGCCCTATCCTAGTTCAAGGTCTCAATCGTCACCCAAGCCAGCCAGTGCGTGTCATTAAAAGCATCCAGTAGGAGGACTGAAGGTGCCGCTCGATGTCGGCAGTCAGAGTTTGTGGAGTGCGAAGAGCACTTTGGGGCATCCTCCCCGCCCAGCGTGCTGGGTCTTGGTGGTACGTGGTACATGTCCAACTTGACACTTGAACTTTTTGGCTCGAATCCAGACACGGCCACAGGATAAACTGTCACATTCTCTAGGCGCCGGGCCAGGTGCTTGGTTTTGTGAGATTGCAAGTTGAAGGAGTCCACGACCTGAGAGCGCACAGGGACCTGAAAACCAAAACCTCCCCATTGCTTCGTGATGATTCCGCTCCAGGACCCGAGGTCTGCAGTGAAAACAAAGCTGGGTGCGCCTTGATGGAGTCTTGCGCGAACTTCACCGACAGCATGCAGCGTATGGTCTGCAAGTCGCGCGCTCGCTTTTTTATGGGCAGAAAGAGTCGTCTCGTCACTCTGGTCGTCTTCTCTGAATACGCATACGCTACCTGCACTCAGGAGAAGTACACTTACTCACTCGCCGCATGTGTCCTACAGCACTCACTCCCACGTCCCGTGGAATTATCTTTGCTTTCTCTCCCTTCTCTGACTTCTCACACTCCACCTGCCAAAGGATCCGCACGTTGAGGTGGGTGTTTCCCCAGTCGCGAGGCCGCAGAGCGTGGCAGTGGGATCCTTCGAACCTCCCCGCTTCACTCTGCGTGTTGCCGCGTCAATCAAACACAGAAACCCACATCCATGGTCATGCAGCTCTGCGCCCGCCCCCCCACCCCGCTCCCTCCATCCACGGTTACAGGATCTTAGGGTTTCGGGAGTAAAGGATCCCCACCCCCCTGCCGCGCCCTTCTCCGCGCTGTGGTGTGGTTGTGGGTTGGCTATAGGGTTTGGGGCTTGGTGCTAGGGCTTGGGTTTTAGGTGTTTGAGGGAGCGCGGGTGAGCAGCAACTGCGTAGCACTTTTCAACAATTGAGGTCTGAGCTTAAGGCCTGCAGAGTATAGAAAGAAAGTGCGACAACTGCCCTCTTATTCAGGGAGTTCGGTTGGGCTCTAGACTAAAGGAGTTTGGGTTTAGGAGATGTGACGTCGGCTGTACACTATACGGTCCAGACAAGGTGGAATTTCACAAGGTTTAGGGTTTAAAGCTTCAGGGTCATGACCTAACAAGTCCCCTGGCTCCCTTTGTGGGGCGGCTGTGGGGCGTTTTAGCCGTTTACTGTTTTGAGGTTCCGTTTACGGTTCTGCGGCACTGCGGTTGCGTTCACGAGCACTGCACAACTGAGCTCAAGCCCTGCGCGACGCAAGGGCTTGAAGTCCTCGTCGATTTTAAGGGTTACGGACACTCACCATGACCACAGTCCACTCCCTTTTGGGTCAGAGCCTCTCCGATCCAGGCTGAGGGGCCAACACGGCAGACCTTTCTTCCCCTTTGGGATGTCAACAGGCTTTATATTTCTGGTATTTTCGCGTACGTTGATGTTGTTCTGCTTCTTCTTCTTCTTCTTGTCATTGCTGCAGTCGTTTTTGCTTTTCTTCTTCTTGTTTGTGCTGTTCTTGCTGCTGCAAAACAGCTGTGCCTCCGCCCCGTGCCCCTCTCTCAACCGCCTCCGCTTGCATCCCATCTGCTTCGTGGCATGGTGGCAGCCCCCATAAGAGTAAGGGTGTTCATGAAAAACGTTTTAAGCAGCAGTTACTGGGAACCCGGGATGGTTCTTACTGAAAAAAAGACTTTTCAGATTCTTTCAAACAAACCTTTTCTGATATAGACGCCTCAGCAAAGAGTGGTGCATATCACCTGTACATGCTTTTTCAGTGATTTGAACAGCTAAGACTGCGACTGCTACATGGTTTTCAAATACAGAAAAGTTGCATAACGAATCTTATTGAATATGCTTCTCGCAGCGGAACACACATACACACACACACAAAGAGTATGCTAGATAGGACACTATTGAAAATCCGACAGCATTTGAAGGTCGCATTCTTATAAGTGAGAAAAATGGAGAATGCACCTGGACCAACCTCGAATGTTAAACACTCCTTAAGCAAAACCCGTATCAATAAACTCAAACTTCCAAACTTGCCTGGGAGAAGCCCCGGGACAGTTTGGACTTCTGGAGTTGTGCCTTCTACGCTTGGGACTAGCGCAGAAAAGGGCAGACAGTGCACAACAAACACAAAGAAGTGCAAACAAGCACAAATATGTGCTAAACATGCAAGAAAAGCACCAATCAATTCAGAAAAAGCACAACAAAGTGCCAGAAAGGAAACCAACACAAACTTAGACAAGATGGAAGGTTTTGTTTGTTTGGCATGTTTCGTGCAGTGTTTTTCGTGGTTGGTCCATATATGTCCATATATTTTAGGGGCAAGGCTAGGACGAAAACTAGCCTAGACTTTAGCCGACCGAAACACCAGCCGCAGCTCTTCCAGACTCCAGGATAAGCAAAACAGCCAAGACCCCCTCGTCTTGGCCCCGGAAAAGGGCAGCGCAAAGAGCACAAGAACATGGTGGGAAAGGAGGGGGGGGGGAAAGAGGAGCCAACGAAGCTGCGGGGCGCCTCCCAGGCGCCTTGCGGCGGCCCATGCGGCCCTTCCCCGACTTCTTCTGCGATCGCACCTTGCGGTTGGCCCCCGGCCTGAGAGCGAGAGAGAGAGAGACACGAAAAATGGAACCTGCGCAGAGATCCTGCTCTCTCGCTCGCTCTCGCTCCCTCTCTCTCTCTCTCCCTCGCTCTCCCTCTCCCAATTCCACTCCCTTTCCCTCTCTCCCTTTCTCTTGTTTTGCTGTTAATCTAGCCGTGTGATCAACAGATAAACGGGGGAGGTCCACAAAGCCAGGGGCTATTTTGTGCAAGGAACGGCCTGCCAATGTGGTGCATTACCTTTTTTGGGGGGTTTCCTTAAGTATGGGCACCTGAGTTGTGATGGAGTATATGCGTGGGTATGTTGACTTCCCTAAGACTTTGGAAATTCGCATGCATGGAAATGAGCCAGACTGAGCCCCGAGCCACTCCCATTTGTAAAGCTGCATTGTGTCTTGGTACCCAGCCTGAGCGGCACAAATCGCCCGCGCGCGCGCGCGCGAACCGTGCGACGAAGCACGTATGAACCCTGATTCGACGCGACGCGTGAATTTCCTAGAGCTTTGGGGCTTTGGGGCCACACTGCCAGAGCAGGGAATATCTTTGCTGCGACGTCATTGTGTGGTGGGGCGGAAGCCGGTCTGAGATGGCAGTGAACGTCACCGCATCTTTGATGCGTTCTGCAGGTCGAAATTGAATTGCACTCGCCCTCAATTCGTGAGCTTCGTGTTGCGAGGTCTCCTGCAGCATGGCTTGGCATGGACGAAAATGGAACAGATTCTGGCCCGGGCAACAATGTGGAGACCATCTCAGTGTTGTAGATTCAGGAGAGGATGCGTATCGCTTGTTTTCGAAGACAATGCCGTGACCACGGGACCAGAGTTTCCGAAAGCAAGAAACCTGCTCGACGACGGCGTCCCTTTGCACAATGACATAAGGACTGCTCCACGCACTTCGGATATGCCCATCATAGGTGCCTTGAGACACGTCGGCCCCGACTGTTCTGCAATTCTCACGGTGATTTCAATGTTGAAAGGTTTCAGCCACTTCAAAACTCAAAATGCGCAAGTTCCTTAGTTCATCGCGGGCAGTAAACAGTGCCACCTTCGATCTGAGTGCTTTGCGATGGTCCCTGTACAAGGATAAATACGTCGTCGTTAACATGTGGTGCTGCTGAAATGCTTTCTGCAAACTTGTCGCCGCTACCTTAGATTCGGCTTCAGTGGTGCTCGGCGCTGTGAAACATTTGAAGAGTCTGACACCTGTGATCTGTTGCCTCCAAGCACTGTAAGCCACGCCCCGAAGTCCAACTGACCTTATCTTTATCTTGAGTCTTCTTCCAATTTACAATAAGCCTTTTCTACACTTTTTCACTGTTTCACATGCTGAGCTGAGAAAACACATTCGCCTCGGCTGCCGAGAAGCGTCTGGAACAAGGCAGACCCAGATGCCAGAATTTTGTCCCGAAACCCCCCCCCCCCCCCCCCCCCCCACACACAACCACCTTGAGACCCCCTGGGACACTTCCTGGAACCCCCCTGATAGAGGGCGCCTCCAAGCCGACTAGTCATCACGTCATCTGCACATACTGCACTGGGCCGGGCTGTCGAGGCGGCGCAAGCATTTACAAGTACTAGTTGTGGCTCTAAGTTTTGCTGAAAACCATTTTGTGTGAGCAATTCTTCGGTTGCTTACAAGACGTGTTTTCTCAAAAGCGTCCGCAGCTCTCCGCAATCCACGCAATCCTTACGCGAGTTTTCGCAAGCGATTCTTCACAATGACCAGCTTTGCAACATCGATGATCTCCGGCATTTGGCATTGGTTCGGTGATGACAGGCCTAATTAAGTTGCCCAAGTCTTCTCGCCGTCAATAGATGAACTCATCCAAGCTTGGAGCTTTTCCATGCTTAGCAACTTTTCCCCTTTCGTTCACCGAGTCCGATTGGCTGTTTCAATGGAGGGTCTGACTCTCGGGATGCGCTGATCTCCATCTAGTAGATCTTGGGCCTCCCCCTCCCCCGCCCCCCCCCAACCCCCCCTCCCCCCCTCTCCCCCTCCCCCCACCCCACCTCCCCCCTCCCCCCCACCCTGCCGAAGAGTCGCCTTAAACCTTAAGGGGCCTGGCTCAACCCTACGATCACTCCAAGCCGAACCCTAAACCCAAAAAAACCCTCAACCCCAAAGCGTGAACCTGAGCCCTAAACTAACCCTCAACCCCAAACCCCAAACCATAAACCCGGAACCCTCAACCCTCAACCCAACCCTTATTGCTTGGGGTCCAGCGACTTGGGCGCTGCGGAATCACCATGCTCACGCGGATGCGCTGGGCCGGGCCGAGGCGGGTCGCGTAGCGTTAAAATTACTTGTTCCAAAACGGAGTTCCGCTTCCAACCAAAAAGGCGGAGGTGCTTTTCTTGTCCTAATGTCCTTGTGTTCCTTGCTAAGGGTTGGCCCCCGCCCAACCCCCCCCCCCCACCCACCCCTTCCCCTCCTGTCGATGCTGTGACATGCAGCGTCAACTACAGCGTCTGGCTCGACATGTTGCTTTCCGCGTTCCAGGGCTCCCTGTTTTTCAGAGTGTTTCAAACTGTTCCACGGCTTCACTGCAAATCCCAGCATTTCTGCTCGAGCTCCAAGTGCTGTCAATTACAGCATTTCTCACAAGTCACAAACTCCAAATGCTCTTTTTCACAGGCTTCAAATGCAAAATTGTTAACTCATGATGCAAGATCCATCTGATCCAGATGCTGCAAGTTCTGCAGTTCGCCCAACAAGTCGTTGATAGCAACGCTTGTGACATGCCAGGCTAAACATGTGTGTACACGCCCCATTTCTGATCACATTGCTGATGCCTTGCACATGGCCTTTCCCTCCCTGTTGATTGTGCCCTGCTCGCTTCTTTTGCTTCTTCTCTCCTCGGGGAGCCCCGTAACTGTCAGCAATTTCGCGGGCGCGGGCGCAGCTCCTTCAGCTCCCCCATTTCCAGACACAGTTAGAAAGATGATAGGCCATTGGCTGCATGGCGTTCTAGGACCTAGGAAGCAAGCTATGCAAAATAGCAGCGCGCTGCGGGAGCCGGGGAGCCCAATTTGCAAAGGCTCGTATGACAGGCTTGACGTACGCGACGTTCTAATGATAAAGCAAGTTGCTTTGCTTGAAAGAGTGAAAGAGCGGGGGTGGAGGGGGCGGCCTAGGGAAACAAAACACCTGGAACAACACGCACCCACTTCGGTGGCGCCAGCTGTGAAAAAAACCCGAATTGTGGCAGATGGACAGCCCCGAACACCAGTAGCACACCGGTAGCCCGCCGCTCCAGTCACAGCTTTCGGCATCCCGCGAGACTCAAGCCGCTCAACACGCTCTCAAGGAGAGAACTCTCGAATTGTCTCACAGACTCTGAGGGCTGTGGCCAGTTTCCGGCGGTGGTACCAGTAGACCTTCAGAGGCCAAGAAACCCAGAGTCGGAGTCAGAAAGCGGAGAAAAGCGAGAAAAGAAGAGAGAGTCAGTCGATTGATGTCCAATGACAGAGCTTTCTGCTCAAAAACAAACTTTTGTGAAAATGGATGATGCGATGAGAGAGAGAGAGAGAGAGAGAGAGAGAGAGAGCGAAACTCAGTCAAGGGCCAGGCCACGAGTGGAGAGAAAAAAGCTTCGTTGGCAGAAAAGAGAGAGAGAGAGAGAGAGAGAGAGTGAGAGAGAGTGTGAGAAGAAAGAACAAAGCACATTCAGTTCACTCCACGACACGCAGGCGGTGGAGCCCCAACCGTGCTAGCATAGGTAGCAAAGACGAAGAGTCTACTCGTGGTGTGCGCACCTGGCCCTAACAACAGCAGACCTCGCTGCTCATATGTTGGATGCACACTCTGCGCTATGCCGCTCAGATTGGAAAGTAGCGCAGCTGGAGACTCTGGAGACAAGACTCTTCTCTCTCTCTCGATCAATCTCTCTCTCTCTCTCTCTCTCTCTCTCTCTCCCTCCCTCCCTCTCTCTCAAGCGCCTTTTGTTAAGAACGACGCAAGTTGGTCTCTGTGTGTGTGCTTCAGGGTGACCCCCTACGACGCCCCGTCCCCCTCGGCACGAATCTCTTTCCGCAGATGCTTCAACACTTGCGCTGCGTGCTCGACTGCACTCCACTCGGCGCACCTTCAAAAAAAAGACAGGAAATCACTCTCACACCCACCCACCCAGTTCAACAACAGATGCGCAAAGCTGACTATGCTTCTTCTTCGGAAAGGAGAGCGCGCAGCGAGGGCCACTGTTTGCGAGATCTCTCATCTTTGCACATCTTTGCATTCCGTCGCCCATAATGCTTGTATCTCCTCTCTTGACTCATCCCTCTCATCGCCTCTCTTCCTCTTCTCTCAAGCTGCGGGGAATAGGGGCCGGGCCCGAAAGATGAGGTCCTTGCGGAGCGGCAAGCCAAAGATGCCTCGCTCTTTCCACTCTTTCCACTCCCTCTGCTGAGGAGAACCCAGGACAGAATGTGACCCAGAACCCAGGACAGAAGAAGGAAGGAGCAACAGAAGCATCCCAAAAGGACAGCAACCATTCGCTCGTTCTCTGCTCTCTCTCTCCCTCTCTTTCTTTTATGTTTATCTTGTTTTTTTTTTCTCTCTCTCTCTCTCTTGCTCTCTGCTCTGCTCTCTGTTCTGCTCTCTGTTCTGCTCTGTGCTCGGCTCTCTGCTCGGCTCTCTGCTCTGCTTTCTCTCGCTCGTTGCTCTCTGCTCTTTTGGCCCCCGGACTGTTGGGCACCACCACGGCACCTGAGAACAGAGCTCTCTCTTCTCACACATTGCTTTTGTTCAACATGCGTGTGATGTTTCTTTGAGTCGCCCCAAAGAAAGAACCCACGCATGCATAACACAAAATCAGCGTGTCACGTGGCTCCCGGGCCCCGAACCCCCCCCCCCCCCCCCGCCCCACCGGCTCCCTACCATGGTATCCCTCCCACCCCCTTCCAGCCCAGATTCATCCTGGTAAAACTGCCGCCGCTTTTGGAGCCTCGCATCTTCTTCGCGTTCCAAGGCCGACAGTTACGAGTGGCCCCGAACCCCCAAAACCCCCAAAGCCCTCAAACCCGAAAGCTTCGTCCTTTTTCTTCTGCTTGTCTGTGGGTGGAGCAGAGAAAAAGCCCCTGCCGGAATCTCAGTCCGAAATGGACGTGTTTCAAGTCAGCAGTGATCGAACTCAGCCAGATGAACTCTGGAACATTACGCTTTCGCTCACGCTGTCCACCGAACCAACTTCCGACCTCCTAAAATTTTCTTCTCTCACTCCACTCATCCTATCAGCATGATAATGAGCTAAGGCTTCGCTCACCCACAACGCACGTCCAAAGGCCGCGCTAGAAGTCGGCCCCGGAATGCCAACTTGAGTAAGGTGCGCAAGGACCACAACTGAATCTTCGACATACGAAAGATGCTTTACAAGGTATGCGCTCAGGTCTATACAAAACAATCAGGGACTCCTCTTAAGAAGAAACCTGGTGCATAGACATGAATATGGACATACAGCAGCATGATACACGCGTGGACATGAAATACGCGCAGCAGACATACAGCCCGCACGCAGGCAAATGGTTTGAGGAACGGGGGGGAGCCAAGCGAAGAAGTGAAGTGAGAACAAAAAAGGTGAAACCAGGAAAGCCAGGGCAGCTAGAGCCTTGCTGGGGCCCAGGGCCTAGCCAGGGCCTAGGGCCTAGCCAGGGCCTAGTCCGGAAAACGTTGTAAGAATGGCGCCCAGGCAGGAGTCCTTGTCGTCGAGGACCTCGAACTTCTGAACCGGTAGCTCCAGGCAGGCACCGAAGCCGACCTTTTGAGGGGAACTTCCAGGAAAACTCCGGGAACTGACCCCCTGGACATTCGGCACATTCGGGACATTCCAATCACGCCGTGTGAAGCTGAGGCAAGCCGCTGCCGGGAAAGCCCACCAATTCCGGATCACCGTGGCAACATCCGCTGTGTCGCCTGAGAGAAGGCGACTATGTTTTTGGAGACTGAGAAAACTAGCCATAAGCTTCTGTAGAAGCTTATGTAGAGAAGTGAGAAGAGAGAGAGACTCTGACATAAACAATTCCACTCGATCAAAGTGAAAGCCGATCTCTACGGCTCTACGGCGCCTGGCCGCCTCACGGCCGGAGCAGAAGCCAGCGTCGGAGCCGTCGTCACGGTCAATGGATCCGCCGTGCCTCCCCGCGGCCTCCCTCCCAAAAGCAAAAGAGCGAGAGAAGAGAAAGAGAGAAGAAACAGAGCGTGAGAGCGGAAAGAAGCTTGAGCGCTTCTGAAAGGCCATGCTCCCTCCCCAACCCCTACCCCCACCCCCAAACAATGGGACAAGAAAATTGGACAAGAAAGAATGGAAGAAAAGAAAAAGAAACACTCAGTTAAACACTCATTGCCAAATTGCCACGCAGAGAACCGAGAGATGAAGCAAACCCTGTCAACCTGCAAGGCTTGGCTTAAAGGCTTAAAGGCCTCTGCGCCTCCAAGGGCGCGATGGACGTGAAACACACTAACTCGATTGGGAAAGCCATCGCCGCTTCGAAGCAGCAAGGCACCGGAAAGCCCAGAAGCGCGCCCAAAGGCGCAGCAGCGCCTGGAAAGGAAGAATGCCTCTCTCTCTCTCTGCCCTTGTAAGTGATTTAAAGTCCAACTGTGACGTCTTCCGAGTGTTTTCCCGGAATCTTCCTCACAAAGTCCCCGTCGCCTCATTGACCGCACCTCGCCATCCGGGAGAACCCGGCTCCCTTTTCCCCCTCAACTCTCAGAACTCAACTGCGAGCCATCGATATGGCCAGGCGATGCCAAGCCAGCGCTCTTGTCAAAACTGCCAGAGAGGCGGAAAAACAACAAGACATCTTGTGACACATGCTGTGGTTTTGTGAGATGACTGGTAGTTATGAGTCCCTTGCCGACTGGCGCTTATTGGAGAGTCACATGTGGGAACCGGTCTGCATTTCGACACGGCGCCCGTGGAGAGGCTGAGAGCTTCCGTGGGGGCCCCTGTTGTGGGGGCAAGCAAGCTGCGCAGGCAAGCTTCGCAGGCAAGCTTCGCAGGCAAGCTGCTGCGGCCGACTGGCCGACAGCGAGCGACACGACGTGTTCGTGTAGAGCATTAAACGGAGGATGTCTCTTTGGATGATATGTCTCCTTCAACTACGCACGCAATTTTGAACGGCTCGAGAGTGAGGTGTGTTGCCCCTGAAGAGTGCTCTCATGAGCTTCCCCGTTCCTGCTTTGAAAGTTCGGGGAGTGTAGTGACAGGAGTGCAGACCAACGAAGCCAAGAGATGCATGCTAGCACTGCTGGACATGTCTTATCCAAACGTATTTTTCACATCTTTTCATGTACAGCCCGAGAAAAAATGCCCGTGCGCCAAGCTTTCAATTGTGACAACTGCTCGGATCAAAAGGCGAAATGCCCGCCCACAGGACAGTGATTCCTTGAGGGTTCGGCAGAAGCAGGTTTGAAGGTTTCAGAAGTTTAAGGTGAGCCGCCTTGACACCTACATCTGAGGCCGGCGCGAGATCAGGATGGCAACTAGAAAGAAACCAGAGCAAGGAAGAGCAAGAAGGCTCTCACGTGCAACACGACATGTGTGGGATGCCGAGCAACAAAGATTCCTTGCCTAGGAGAAAGCCCCGGAATAGCCTGCCACTGCGACCTGCGCTTTGACCCCCCTTTTATTTTCAGCTGGAATGCACTTTGACAGCATTTGTTGCTCCCAATTTTGGGAGATCGACGGGAGAACATCGACGAACATCGACACATGACATTCAATTTGGACGCATACAAGAAGTCGCGGCGCTAACGCCAGCGCCAAAAAGGGGGCTCTCTCTTGGAGAGGGCACCCCCGAGGCGAGATGCTGCAGATGCTGCAGATGCGGTGCAAGTGCTGTCCGCTCTGGAGTCTTAAGTCTTAGTGTCCGACTTGAATCGGCTGATTAGAATTGTCTCTAATTAGAGAAATGATGTCAACAGAGCAGAGACTTGCGGTTCTGAGAGCTGCTCTCCCAGAGCTGCTCAGAGCTATCCTTTGCAACACAGCCATCTTCGCCATCTTCGCACTGTCTTAAGATCACAGAGTAGCGGCTGAGTAGCGGCCATGGCTATGGCGGTGCGAGAGGAACATGAACATGAGTCTCATGGCACATCGTGGCACATGTCATTGTGACGTTGACATTTACAGAATTTCAGAGGAGCCTGCAATTTGGCTCCCCGCGAAGAAGGCTCCCCCTGCATGGTGGATACTTGTTTAGAAATGTCTAAAGCGTCTAAGTTGCTCCCACAGAGGGCCTCTCCTCCAATAGCGGCTACACCGGTGTTTACCGGTGTGCGCCGGCTCTGAGTCTTAACTCGATGTCGAATTTGCTTTGGGGAAGAAGAAAATCGGACTCAGACCCCCAGAAGAGAGGACGATATCCGCCAAAGATCTAAATGTGCCCTTTATTCGTTCTAGATCACGGATTTCATCTCTTAGCGCGTCCCGTGTGTCCTTCTCTGAGCCTACACGTCCCCCTTCACTTGTGTCTCCCCCTCCCTTCTCCTTCTCCCCCTTCCCCTCTCCTTCTCCTTTTAATGCAGGGTGAAACAAAAAAGCGCCCAAGCCGCTCTCAATCACACACACACACACACAACACACGCACACGCACACGCACACCCACACACACACACACACACACACACACACACACACACGCACACGCACACGCACACGCGCACACACACACACACACACACGCACACGCACACACACACACACACCTTTGTCCTACATGTGCGAGAGAGAGAGAGAGAGAGAGAGAGAGAGAGAGAGAGAGAGATAGATAGTAGAGAGAGAGCTCTCGAGCCGCTCTCCTTCTTACTTCCCATTCCCCGAGCGAGCGCCGCTCTCAAGCTGCCAGACACGTTCTCTACCCGAGAGAGGGAGAGAGAGAGCTTCACTGAGCTTCACTGTGACTTCAAAGATCTCCTTCTTCTCGACTTCGCTCGCGCTTCTCCTTCGTACAAACCCGCATTCAGATTCGCAGGAAAGCAGTTCAAGCAAGCAAAGAAAGCCCTCTTCTGAAAGAGCGTGCTTGACTTGATACAGCTGTTTTAGCCATGTGTTGCACAAGCACAAACAAGCTCTGGGCGCCAAGCACTTTTGGACGAGCCGAAAGCCTTCGGGGAACTTGGCATGCAGCTTCTCGATGGTGCTCGCGTAGTCCAACTGCACACGTCTAAAACAAGCAGCTCTCCCTGAGGCATGAAGAAAATACCACTACATGGCAAACATTGAAACCTGGATAATCACACTGCCGGACTCCTTTGCTCAACCCACCTCCGGCGGGAACCAGGACTGGAGGTCTGTAGCTCCGTGCTCCGACGCGCGGAGGGCCTCCGCTCGCAGCATTTGAACAGACTTAGCAAGTCTTAGCAAGAGCCGAAGCAGGGGAGAAGAGGCCTTTCCTGCTTACCCCTCTCTCCCTCAATTTCCTGAAGTGCTTTTCTAACTGTCACACTTTGTGACTCCGCTTCTCGAAGCCACGGAGTGCGGGATCTCGGGATCTCGCCTGTCTTAAGTGAGCTCACGTGAGCACGAGATATGACATCTTTCTAAAAAAGGGACAAACTAAACAAACTGTAAAAAAACAAAAGCCCTCTCTCATTTCTTCTCCCTCTCTCTCTCTCTCTCTCTCTCTCTCTCTCTCCAAACTCCCAAACATTGTCTCGTTTCTCCCCGTCCCGGCCCCTTCCCGGCCCCCAAGGGTCCGGTCCTGGAAGACCTCGAACCAGCCCTTGTCTCGGACGGGCCACACCTCTCAAGGACTGATTGCGAGCTTTGAGAGGCTTTGAGCAAGAGGCTATGAGACAGAAAAGCACACAACAAAAGCACTGAAAGAAAGAATGCCAGAGAACAAGTGGAGAAGAGAAGAGAAGAAATATGACAGAGAGGAAGAAATGACAGAGAAGAAATGAGAGAAGCCTCTGGGTCAGCGTGCGCGCCAGAAGTTGTGTCTCGGCTTCTGGGCCCCCCGGCCGGGTTCAGGGGGAAGGAGAAGCCCTCTTGAATGCGCTCCAAGAGGAAGGCCCGCAAGCTCGCTTCGTCCTTGTAGTCCCAAGGCCTCATTCTCCGAAACATCTCGAGAGCACGACCAAAAAAACAATGCTCAGATGAGAATGCAGATGTTCGATGTTCTGCAGATCCCAGAGGCAACGAAGTATGTTAAAGGCTTTGAAATTATTAAAAGGTGTCTTTTGAAGGTGTCACAGTGTCACTTTTCGTCAAAAACTGAGCGGGCCCAGCTTGCCGTGCATCTCGCTGAAGCCCTGCCAGACGACCAAGAACTCGTCGTCCAGCTCCTGCAACACACGAGGAAGAAGCACAGAACGCTCCCCGCGCCACGCTTCCGCACAACCACACACACCGTTCGCAAAACACACAAAACACACAAACACACACTCCACTAAAACCACAACAGCAGCGGACACGCATCTCAACTCCCCCGTGCCTGAGGGAAGTAGAAATTGCCTCACAAGAGTCTCCAGCGACGCGACACGGGGGTTCGACTATCGAGCTTTTCAACTGTTTTGCAGGTTCCCCCTCCACCCCTTGCCCCCCTCTACCGAAGGTCCGTTGCAACACTTCAGATGTCCCCCGAATATAAGGCATACCCGCGCTCGGCTTCTTCACTGTTGTTGACCTGTCCTTTGTTTTAGCACTGGGTTTTTTACGTGGTATTCTAAAGAACCGCTCCAGGTAGCCATTAGTTCTTAGGCACTTTTCACATGTTCAATCTCTGTTTGTCTTTTTCCTCTTTCACTATAGTTTCCGCCCTATGTAGGAGGGTGCGGACAACTGATCTTTTGTGTTCCAGGTGGTGGTTCAGAATTTACAACAAAATTTTAATCTTTTGAATAATGGCGTGACACACGAGTACCGAGATTTAATTCCGAGTATTCGGTTTTCATTAAAATGATTCAAACTTTAGAATAGATAAGATACGACTTACTAGATGCAATCTCCATTTGCAAGCCTGGAAGCCATGGCCTAGTGGTTGAGCTACTGGCCTAGTCCCCGGCCCCTTTTTCGAGAATAGGAGAATTTACGACGGATGGTCAAACTTGCAGTCAGAGCAGCTATTTGTTGAAGAAGCCCCAGAAGGGAGAACTTGCAACCAGGTGTCAAAATAGGGATTGCAACCGGCTCATGAGCTTGGGGGCTGGCAAGGGGAAAAGGACGAGAGCTTGCTGAACCATGAACCCAGTTGAAAACGCCTCAGCCCTTTCTTGCAAACAACTTACACACAGTTTGGGGGCGCATGTGAGCAGCCCTTTCTTTGTTTTGGAAACATCCCCCTCAAAGGGACACATCCCCTAAAACCTGATGAGCCTGCCAGACCTGCGGAAGGTTTTTCGAATTTGCGGGGCCTTTTGACGTGGGCTGGCCCGGCTGCCGAGGCGGCGGGCGCGCAAGCGCTTACACATGTATTCGTACTTCATGGCGTAATCGGCGGCTGTAATTTCGCCCGTGCCTTGGGCACACTGAGAAACGTACACTGTCATTTGGCGGTTCAGGTTGTAAACGTTCTCTCTTTGTGTTTTGACTCTCTCACCCGCTCAAGGCATGAAACTGCCCCATGCTCCTCCCCCCCCGCCCCCCCTAATCCCCTCCGCCCTTAGAACAAATGAGTCAAATGAAAACAATCAAGCAAGATGCCGCTTGGCTTTGTCAATCGCTTTGCGCGAGCGTCCTTAGCCGCCTAACCATAGCCAGTAGCTTTAGGCGTGGAGAATCGGCACATTCCCAAGGTGCCCCAAAGGAAAGGGCAACATACTTACCACAAGGGCAGGGGATTCACAGGGAGTCAAAGAACGGCCAGGAACCACTTCACGTCGATTCGTGGCCCCCTGAGTTTCCGGCTGCACTCGGCACCGTGGCGAACAGCACCGCAGGGCGCAGTTTCCGCTACCACGTCTGCGATGAGCTGGTACCTCTCACAGCTTCTCCCCCTCTGCACTCTTCGATTGCTTCGTGCATTCATATGGTCTTGGAGTTAGCGTCAGTGTGTATTGCGTCTGTGTGTATATATATTTATATATATATGGTTCAGCGTCGGGCGTTCCCGGCCCCCCCCCCCCCCCCCCCCATGGTATCCCCCCCCCCCCCCCCCCCCCCCCCCCCAGTCTACTCTACGGTCCCTAAACCCTAAACCCTAAACCCTAAACCTTAAGTCTTAAACCTTAAACCCTAAACCCTAAAACCCTAAAACCCTAAAACCCTGAACCCTAAACCCTAACCCTAAAACCAACCCCCAACCACACCACAGAGAAGGGGTATCATCTTAGTACCGCATCCGCGGGGAAACCCTAAACCCTAAACCCTAAACCCTAAAACCCTAAAACCCTAAAACCCTAAAACCCTAAAACCCTAAAACCCTAAAACCCTAAACCCTAAAACCCTAAAACCAACCCCCAACCACACCACAGGGGGAGGGGGGGGGATACCATGGGGGGGGGGGGGTAGGGGGGGGGGGGGGGGCTGAACCATATATATGGTACCCCCCCCGGCCCACACTTTTGCTATAGTTTTGCCTGCCCTGGCTACACCGGAGGGTTTTGGGGTTTAGGGTTTAAGGGCCTCCCAGGGCAAATAAAAACTGCAAAAACGCTGTAATGTCCCAATCTTTTAGTCTCAGACGAGTAAAAACGCTGTACTGTCCCCAAAAAGCCAAAAAAGCCAATCTTTTCAGGGTCTCCAGCTCAAAGATTGGGACAGTACAGTGTTTTTGCGTCTGTGTCCCAAAAAAGTTTGGGACAGTACAGCACTTCAAGCTCTCCAGGTGCAGAAAACGCTGTACTGTCCCAATGTTTTTGGGTCCAGGCATGCAAAAATGCTGTACTGTCCCAATGTTTTTGGGTCCAGGCATGCAAAAACGCTGTACTGTCCCAATCTTTGAGGCTCAGAGGAGCAAAAACGCTGTACTGTCCCAAAGATTGGGACAGTACAGGGTTTTTGCTTTTCTGAGCCTGAAAGATTGGGACAGTACAGCACTTCAGGCCCTCCAGGTGTCGAAAACACTGTACTGTCCCAATGTTTTTGTCCCAAAAAACTCAAAAAAACCAATCTTTTCAGCAAAGGTTGGGACAGTACGGTGTTTTTGCCTCTCTGTTTCAAAAAGATTGGGACAGTGCAGCACTTCAGGCTCTCCAGGTGCAGAAAACGCTCAGTCATGCAAAAACGCTGTCCTGTCCCAACGTTTGAGCTCGAGACTCTGAAAAGATTGGTTTTTTTGAGTTTTTTGGGACAGTACGGTGTTTTTGCTTCACTGTCCCAAAAAGATTGGGACACTTCAGGCCCTCCAGGTGTCGAAAACGCTGTACTGTCCCAATGTTTTTGGGTCCAGGCATGCAAAAACGCTGTACTGTCCCAATCTTTGACCTGGAGCCCTGAAAAGATTGTTTTTTTTGAGTTTTTTGGGACGGTGCAGCGTTTTTGCTCCTCTGAGCCTAAAAGATTGGAACAGTACAGCAGTTCAGGCCCTCCAGGTGTCCAAAACACTGTACTGTCCCAATGTTTTTGGGTCCAGGCATGCAAAAACGCTGTACTGTCCCAATGTTTTTTGGGTCCAGGCAATGCAAAAAACGCTGTACTGTCCCAAAAAAACTCAACAAAAACAATCTTTTCAGGGTCTCCAGGTCAAAGATTGGGACAGTATTAGGTCACGGTGCCTCATTCGACATTGCTTAGGCCGACAGGACCGGGCTTAGGCATAGGGGTTTCACATTGGTAGCGGAGCCCGGCCTGTCGCTAGCTAGGAGTTAGTGTAAACAGGGGGTTCCAGGGAGTTATTGTTGATGGGAGTGGCGCGGCGCCATGGCGCAAGCTTCAGAAGGAACGGCTGAAGCAGCGGCAGGAGCCACCGGAGGTGTGAGCCATCTCCCGTGGCAGCAGGTCCCGAAGTTTACGCCAGGGGTGACAAGCGTGGACGAGTACTCTCAACGGCTTCACTTTCTCAAAGAGTTGTGGCCAGCCGAGCATCTGTCGTTGTTGGCTCCCCGAGCAGCCCTCTTGGTGGAGGGGGACGCCTTCCAAAAGATGAGCCGGATCAAGCCCGAGCAGTTGCGAGGACCTGATGGTGTGAAGTACCTTGTGGAGTCGCTGGGCGGGTCTTGGGGAAAGACCACAGTGGAGGAGCGATACCACTTCTTTGAGCAGGCCATCTTTCAGACGCAACAGAAGGCGGACGAGAGTAACGATTCGTACATTGCCAGACACGACGCTTTCTTTGAGGAACTCTTGAGCCGTGGGGTGACCCTTGAAGAGATCCGCGCCTATGTTCTTCTCCGTCATTCCTTGTTGGCGCCGGAGGACAAGAAGCGTGTGATCGTGGAAGCCAAGGGCGACTTGAAGTACCAAGAAACGGTCCGAGCAGTGCAGCTCTTGGGGTCCAAGTTCTTCACAGACTTTCAGAACCGTAGTGGCCCTTCAAATGCCAAGGCAATGGATCGAAGCAAGGTCTACGACATCCACATGACGACAGACGACGACACCTTTGAGGAAGTGCACAAGGACCTCAGCGATGAGCTCATCCTGGCTCACTTCCTTGAGGCCAATGACGAGGACGCCATCTACATCACGGAGTTTGAAGATCAGATAGTGGAGGCGGTGCAGGAGAGTGAGTTGGCCCAGCCTTTGCCTCGTACCAAGAAGCTCGTCGAAAGCTGCGGGACAAAGCAAAGTCCAGGGGGTTCTGCATCAAGGGCAAGATGAAGGGGAAGGGCCAGTCCGGGGAGAGAGGCAAGGGTTATGGTTCCTGGGATGGGGGCCGTCGACGTTCCCTTGCAGATTGGATCGCCAACTCCAACTGCAAACAATGTGGGGCCAGAGGGCACTGGAAGCGGGAGTGCGCGAAGAAGAGTGCTGAGGTAGTTTCTCTCTGTGGGTCCGTAGACCGAATGTCTGGATCAGGTTGTTCTGGGAATGGTTCAAGAATCCTGCTGTTGATATCGCGCATCCGGAAGAAGTCCTTTCCCACGCGCCTCAAGCTTCGTTAGTCACCGACTGTAAGAGCGCTTGCGATATAGCTACGAAAACTGCTGGACCTACGTGTTCTGAACTACGCACCCAGTTGGAATGCTTGTTGCTGAGGGAGAGACTTCAAGAAAAATGCAAGATGTGCTGGGTTCATTCAAAGGCCATGTTAGCGGACTGTTTGACAAAAGTGATGGATAGTTCCGAGTTAAGACGTCACCTACAGGAGGGTTGCTATGCCTTATTCGACGAACAAAAGGTTCTTGAGAATAGAGCGGGGCAGAGACAGTCGCTTGCAGTGGCTACGCCAGAACTCAACCAGAGTCTCACCGGAGCACAAGTGAAGAAACTTAAAGTGTTGGTTTTCGATGAGTGTAAAACCGACAGGTTCCCATGTTCACTTGTGCTGTCCAACATGTCTTCATCCTCGCCGGCCCTTCCGACAGCTCCGAGGTGGGAGGGAGGCTAGAGCTTGACCAAAACTGCACGGGGTGCAGTGGAGGGCTACATTCAGGGCTGGGTCCTCATAGGACAGACCATAGGGTTACTTAGGTCAGGGTGCCTCATTCGACATTGCTTAGGCCGACAGGACCGGGCGTAGGCATAGGGGTTTCACATAAGAGACCCCGCTCTTTAAGATTAAGAGAAAAGCATGAGGCAACAAAAGTCTTTTTTGCTTTCGGATTTAGGCTTAAGTTTAGGGTGTAGGGTTTAGAGAGTTTAGGGTTTAGGCTTGCAGATGCGCATCTTTAGGATTTGGGGCTTTTCCTCTTTAAGATTTACGGACCCCAAATCTTTGGGGCTTAGGGAATAGGACTTAGGGCAGAATATTCAGGGAATAAGGTGGGAAGAAGCTTTCAGGATCCCACCCTTTAGGGCTTAGCCAAAAGGATTTAGGGAATGGGACCTGCGTTTAGGATGTAAGGGCCACCTGTTTAGGGTTCGGGAATAGGATTTGAGAGTAAGTATAAGGGAATAAGATTTAAGGGATCCCGCTCTTTAAGGTTTAGAGAAAATAAGCAGGCAATAAATCTCATTTTCAGGGCTATCCTAGGGGTTCTCCTCTTTGCGATTTGAATGACCTGAAGGAAAGAAGATTGAGGGAGTAGGACCTGAATAGGATTTAGGTAGGATAAGGAGTTGGGGGATGGGTTTCTTGAAAATGCTCCGCTTTAACATTTAAGGATGCCCCTCTGGAGGGAATAGGGCTTCGGGAATAACATTAAGGGAGTAAAATTTAGGTCACACCTTCATTGTTTCGCGAAAAAGGATTTAGGGAATGGGAGTTGTTGTAGGATTCAGCGGCCCTCCTTCTCAAATTTAAGGGCCGGATCGGGCCTCCTTCCCCCAGCCAAAATTTTCTCTTGGAGGAGCTGCAAACCGATGCTGTGGAGGGGTGGCTCCTACAGTGCCTCAAAACCCCCCCCCCCCCCCCCCCCCCCCCCCCCCCCCCCCCCCCCCCCCCCCCCCCCCCCCCCCCCCCCCCCGCTCTGCCCTTCCATTCCTCCTTTCCTGTCCTGGGGCCGGCCCAGGCGGCGCGCGCAAGGTTTACAATTTCAATCCCATTTCCCAAATCCTTATCACTAAATCCGAAAGAGCGGGGGTCCCTACACGGCTGCAAGTGCGGTGATTGTTAGATTGTCCTGACCACAACTTTCGTAGGGAGCGTGGATTTCTCGTGTTTCACAGCTTCGGTTGCAGCAATGTCGGGGGCGGAACAGCCAGGACAGATCGCCCACAGTGCATACTGCACGGAGCAATTTCGTCGCCAACAATCATGGCAGCAAGAACAATACCAGGCGGTCCACAACCTGTACTGGCAAGCTGGAAGGGGCAAGCGCAGCGCACCCACTCCAGTTGTGAGCGGCTTGACTACGCCGCAGGATTCCACAGCGGACGCAGCTGAGATGGAGGTGGAAGAGGAGAGGGCGGCCGAGAGGGCGAGAGGGAGAACACAACGCTCCTCCAGCCGTTTTCCCTTCAGGAGGAGGCAGCTCTTGAAGTCACAGCGGCAGCAGTCGGAGTGTCTACCACCGACCACAACGCCATGGGCCAGCGGCTAGACAGGGCGCCCGCCAGCAACCGCGAGGTCTTCTATGTAGAGAGGCACAGGTTTGTATAGTTCAGAGTGCCAACTCCGAAGGATGGCCCAAAGAGCGCAAGGATGACACGCACAAATCAAGGAATGTAAGCGTACCAGAGGTACCATTCCCAAGGCTCCGTTTTGGGAAGCCATGTTGTGTAGACAAAATCTTTCAAGTCAAGATCTTTTGTTGCTCGCTTCTGGCCTTAGTGCTAAAAGTCCGTCGGGCAGTGATTGGCCATTCGCAGGTCATGAGCCCAAAAGTAACGCTCAACTAGTCAGTTTTTTCCCGAACATGGAGGTGCCTGAGCGATCGGAGCTTTCGGCACGGGATGAGAGACGGGAGGTATCCAGTCAAGATGGCAGGATATCCAGCCAGTCTGCGCAACCTTCGCAAGCCTCCGAGCAAAGGGGGACCGAGGAATCGATCGAATCGGGAGCACACAATCCAAATCCTTTTTGGAGTGAAGCTGTTCAGGGAGAATTCAATCTACGACGCCAGAGACCAGCCTTTTTGGACCAAGAAGCAAAGGTTCGTGAAGAGAGACAGGACGCGGAGCTGGTCTTAGAGCCAGACTATGGGAGGCTTGCGGACGCACCGGCTCCTGTGGAGTCGGGGCAACCCGTGGTTTTGGCCCCAGAGGGTCAACAACTTGTGGAGTCTCCAGCGAGAAGATCCGTGTCCTCAGGGGGTACGTTGTCAAAGTTGGAAAGAGGTCTCACGCCGCACGATGGAGAGATTGGAGAAGGTGAGAGCCGCCTGGAGAATCAGATGAGACGCATGCAAGAGCTCATGTCGCAAATGGTTGCGGCTCAGGGGGTCATGCAAGAGCGTCTGGCTCGGGTGGAAGAAGAGCGAGCTTCATCGATGCAGTCGGTGGCAAGCAAAGAGGGAGCAGCTCCACAGACGTACCATTCTCTAGATCAGTGGCGACAGTCGAGCCAAGCTCAACCTGACAGCAGACCTGCACTCACGAGCATGGATGAGCCTCTGGAAATGTGGTATGGTGGCGATGCGTCGTTATCATCAAGGTGCACTGAGTCCAAGGAGGTAGATGTGGCTGTTGTAGGTAGGACGAGTAGCAGTGTCAGCTTCGGACCAATGGGCCCCGAGGGTCATGGTCATGGTCAGTTTCCAGCAGATGAGCTTCAGGGTCAAGGGATGGGGTATTCAGGGGTGGTTGGTGTAGGGAGGGCTAACCCGTACATGCCTCAAATCACCACAAATCCACCTGATAATCGCGCCGAGAACCCGAAGCCAGTGGCGACTCAGGGAGAGTGGCCCAACTCAGGGCAGATGGGCTGCGCAAGGGGGGGACTCTTTGGCAGCAATGAGGCCCGGCCGAGTCTTGGAGCTTGCTTGGGGCCGACGCAATATGGGTTACCGGGCACAGAGGGGCTCATGAGTAGGTCTTTGGGAGGGCCGGAACTTCATCAGGGTCATTGTGGGATGTTTCAGGGGCAAGGGATGAACCGTCAGGCTACCCCAATCTTCGAAGTCCCAAACATTGGTCAACCTATCTTGGTTATGGTAGACGGTAGGCTCCGGGAAGCTAGGGTCAATTCTTCGGGAGGGTTGGAGGTTGTGCCTCAAATCCCAAATCAAGGGCATCAACATTTCTACGTGGGGGAAACAGATCCCTTTGAAGCGGGCCCTTTTGGGCGATGCGCCGCCTCACCATTTAAGCCGCCACCGGCGCCGCCGCCTGGGCCTCCCCAAACACCCCAAACAACTTGTGAGTTCAGAATCGGGCCATGTGTGCCTGGAGCCAGTGCCTTTACCGGCGCAAGTGTGAATCCAGACTATGTGAGCACGCCTAGGTTAGGTACGACTGAGCCAGCTAAGACCTCGCCGATGACGCCTGGAGGAACGAGACTTCCGCCAGGGGACCCTCCTCCAACTCCGCCAAGGCCACCGCCGTCAGCTCCGTATGACCCAGGGGAACGCGCGCTGGATTTGCTCAGATCGGCGCTTGGTGTGCAAAGTGAAGGGCTGATTCGGCAAGAAGAGGTGTCAAGGAGTGGCGCGAAGTTGCCGGCTTTGGAGCCGGGGTCGGGAGTAGCAGCATGTGTAGCAGGGGATTGGCTAGCTCAGATCACTCCTACCATGCGGGCCTTGTCTAACACAGCATGGCAGTGGTGGGATGATGTGTGGAATGCTGCGCACGCCTTGTATCAGAAGTGGCTGCAATCTTCGCCAGCGGATAGACTTCTGTTGAAAGCTGTGCAGGACGGAGAGAGACCTCGGTTTGAGACTACCAAGTGGGCCCGGGTAGAACAGCACGCCATTGGGTTGTTAGTTGAGGCTCTACCGAAGTGGCTCCAAACCGAACTGATTGCCAACCGACAGCTAGACTGTACTGCCATAGTGTTTCGGATTCTCACGGCTTTCCAACCCGGAGGACCCCAGGAGAAGGCAGTGGTGTTGCAAGCTCTCACTTCACCCGCAACCGGAAAGAGTGCCCCAGAAGCCTTAAAGGGTCTTCGAATGTGGGTTCGTTTAAGGAAACGGGCAGACGAGTTGGAAGTAGCTCAGCCAGATCCGTCCCTGCTTGTAGCAGCAATTGACTTGATCACCGCGGAGGTGCTCAAACAGCATCCACAAGCCTCATTCCGTCTAGCCAGCTATCGTCATGCCGAACAGGTAGACGTTCTCCCTACAGCCCCGAAAGTATCAGGATTAGCTCAAATGATTCAAGCCGAGCTGGAGGCAGCAGTGAGTTCATCCACAGACTCCACCAAGAGACAGCGAGTAGCGCGGATGAGTGAAGATGAAGGGGGTAAGGGTGATAGGGGGAAAGGGGATGCAAAGGGAAGTGAAAAAGGGGGTGGAAAAGAATCTAAAGGGAAAAGCAACGCATCTGGAGCTAAGGCCACCTGCTGGGGATGGGGAACGGCAACGGGATGCCGGTTCGGTAGCGAATGTCAGTTTGCTCATGGAGAACTGAAGAAGGGAATTTGCTGGGGATGTGGATCCACCGAACACACCAAGCCCAGCTGTCCTCGGCCAGGTGGAGGTGCTGCAGACAGCGCTGAAACGCCTTTCACGGGTAAAGGAGATGGAGGAAATGGGGGAAAAACCAAGGGGAAAGGAAAGAAAGGAGAAAAAGGGGGAAAGCCTAAATCGAATGATCGCGTCGCTAAGGCCCAGGGAGAAGGGGGAGCCACGTCTCATGAAGAAGCAGGCACGGAGGAGAAGACGTCTCCACCAGCGCCGTCACAAGCCGAACTCCTGAAGGACTGCGCTGATCTTCTTAAGTCGATGAAGGTGAAGCGAATGTTTGTTCGTGGCGTTAAGGCAAGTGGGGGAGGAAAAGGGCTCTTGGACGGAGGAGCGACGTCTTGCTTGAGGCAAGGCACCCCTGAAGAACGAGCAGGTCTCCCGCAGAAGTGTGTGGATTTGGCGGTAGGACAGGCCACGTTGTACATCAAAGAAACTGGTGTGCTACTCACGGCTGAACCAATAGCTCCGATTGTCAGCAAGAACGCGTTGGTCAAGTGGTTGGGGTGCGAGGTTCGATGGACCAAGGCTGAGGGGTGCACGGTGTATCATCCGAAGCGGGGATGGTTGGACATCGATATGTCATCAGGGTGCCCCGAAGTGTCGGAGAGTCTTGCGCTTCAGCTCATCGAGGAAATCGAGCGGGCTGTTCAACATCATGATCATGTCATGCGTTGCATCGAAGGTAAGAAGGTCCAGGACAGATTCTCAGAGTCACGTCGTCGAGCATGTGAGAGTCTCAGGGAGGGAAGCGCCGAGGAGTTGAAGAGGTGGATTGCCCAGCGGTTCCCAACTATCCCCGAGCGGTTGGTAGAGCGCATGGTTACTGTTCCCTCAACTGCAGCGTCGCCATGGAATCGAAGAATCCGTAGGTCTTGGGATAGGAAGGATTTCCTCATTCTTCACTTGTGCTGTGGAACAAGCAGAAAGATGTTTGACCACTTGGTGGATAACAGGGTTGGGGTTGTCACGGTCGATATTCAGGAGGACCTGTTATCGGATGACACGTTGGCCATGCTCCTTCATCTAATTGTCCGAGGGAAGGTGATCGCGGTGGTGTCTGGCGCCCCGTGTCGGACGCTTTCAGGGTGCAGACATAGGGACAGCCCAGGTGCTCCAAAGCCGGTGCGAGCGCGCTATGGGGAAGAATTCTGGGGGTTGCAGGGTTTGTCTGAGGATGAACAAGCGGCTGTTGATGGGGATAGCCTGTTATGGCTCAGATCGCTAGTGGTGTACATCACAGCTCAGTATTTCACATGGCGCGTGCATGAGTGTGACACTTGGTTCGGATTTGAGCATCCGGAAGATCCTGCTGTGGTGTGGGGTGACGAATCGGATGATCAGGGAAGGTCCTATCCTAGTATTTGGGCCTCGGAGGTGATGAGCACTCTCGCTGAGGAGTGTGCTTTGGGCACGATCGGGTTCGATCAGGGGCCCTTGGGGCATGCAAAGCGCAAACCGACTCGAATGATGCTTCACGGGAAGCCTCACGTCTCTTTGATGCAATGCAGGGGAGAGGGTGTTGAAAAGATTCGAGCGGCAGCTGGGTTGTCATTGGGGCAGTCCGGAGCGTGGGCTGCATGGGCCCCGGGCCTGAAGGCTGCGATAGTCGACATGGTTCAGGGGGTACTGGTTGATGCTCAACATGTCCGTGCATGCAGTGGGGTCCACGTTGCCAAGGTCAAGGATCATGCTTCGTTCACGCAGCACGTGCTTCAGGACCACATGCCATTTCGAAACGATTGTCGGCATTGTCTCGCGGGGAGGGCCAGAGATCGCAGGCATTTGAGGCAGCAGGTTTCAGAGGCCTACACGCTTCATGTCGATATGTCGGGGCCACACAAGGAAGGGAATGACCAATTGGGCAGTGCCAGATATGTTCTAATCGGAAATTTCACTGTTCCTGTCTTGGGGCCAAACTGGGAGGATGCTTGGGAGGCCAAGGATGCCGAAATTCCTGAAGGTCCCTGGGAGCATCTTGATCTTGATGAAAAAGTTGATGTTCCGCAGGAAGGGGAGGTGCCAGCTGCCGGAGTTTGGGACTCGGGGGAAGAGGAGGCTCAGGCAAGCGAAGAGGGCCATGAGCCATCGGCTGGGGACAAACGGGAGGAGGAAGAGTGCAACACGGTCTGGGCTCGCATTCGCAAAAACTTGCAAATGAAGCAGCTGAAAATGGAAAACCTTGTCATGGCGGAACCCCTCGCGTCTAAAAAACACGCTGCGGTACTTGAAGCGGTCGCCAAGATGGTCACCCGGATTCGGGCTGCGGGGTACCCAGTGGTCCGTCTGCATTCGGATTGTGGAGGGGAATTCATGAGTAAGGGTCTTCGCAAGTGGTGCGCGCTGCAAAGCATCTACAAAACTACCGGGGAACCAGACGTGCCCCAAACTAGGGGTAGAATCGAGAATGCTGTGGGGCGGGTCAAGGGTCTTGCAAGGTCTCTGCTTCAGTCTCAACCGGATCTCCCGATCACGCTTTGGCCTCACGCTGTTAGACACGCAGCGGAGCGACTGTGGCGTATCAGCATGGCTGCACTGGGTAAGGAGATGCCTCCGTTAATTCCGTTTGGAACAAAGGTGATCATGGTCTGCAAAAGGGAAGGGAACATGGAAGGATAAAGTTCAAGACGCCCGAGTGCTGGCACCAGCGCTGGAGTTGTCGAGGGGCTACTATGTCGAAACTTCGGAAGGGGAAGGGTTTGTGACCAGCGTTCTTTTCCAGAATGTTCAAGTAGCTGGGCAACCTGGGTCAGCAGTAGTCACTGAGTGTGAGCCGGTGAACTTGCGAAAAAGGGTCACGGGCAAGCAGCCGCCCCCTGAAGAACCTCCACTTGTTCGATCTCTCCAGGATGTTCCTGATGAGGAGTCTCATGATCCACTTGCTTTGCTCATGAAAGAAGATCAGGCAGCCGCAGCTCTGGCGGCGCAGACGCCGTGGGATAGGGATGCAGTTGTTGAGTTTCTCAAACAGACTGAGCTTCGCAAACGCACGGGCTCCTCTCGCACTGCCTTGCATGGAGGGGCGCAATTTATCTTTGGGGCATGTCGTCATGGTGGCGTCATAGGAACTTCTGGGTTGACGGGGGATCTTCCAGGCTTTACTGCGCTTCTGGTCCGGCTGATTCGGGAAGTGGTGCCAGATCATCACTTCACGTCTGTAGCTCTCGGATACAATACCAGAATGGACGTCCACCGAGATCTCAACAACCAAAAGGGGTCTCGGAATGTGGTGGTTCCTCTTTGTGTCCCCAAAACAGGGGGAGAAGTGTGGGTGCAAGCTCGACAAGGGGATGTTTTGCGGGGCCAACCGCAAGTCCAGGTTGCGAAAGGGCAGCCTCTGGTGGGGCAAATCCTTCCGTGGACGGATGGGTATGTCACTTTGGGTCCAAACGCCTGGCATATGGTCATGCCGTGGAAGGTTGGTCAGGAGCGCATCGTTCTCGTTGCGTATTCGGTAGGGGCCTGGCAAGCGGCCACTCCAACACTGAAGGGCCAGCTTGAGGACCTGGGATTTCCACTTCCTTCTGGGGCCAGGTTGGTCGACCCAGTGGGTCGAGGGGGAGTAGGTGGAGCTGAAACTGGCGTAGCGATGAAGAAGAATTTTCAAGCCACTCAGTCTCAGGAGCCTGGGGCGGAGGTTGTAGGGGAAGTTTGCTGGTGCAAGGGCTATCAAGTTGATCCATCGCTGTGCCTGTGTAAGGGGCTCAGGGAGTCGCCTCTATCAGATTCTGGAGGCCCTTTGAATCCACTTGAAGTATCTCAGGACGAGTGTCAAGGGGAGAGAGGGCTAGGTGATGAGGACGGATCTATGAAGGTAGTGTATGCCATAGAAGAACTGAGTGAAGAAGATCCTGCAGATTTCTACTACTCGGTGGGAACTCGGGGGTGGGATGAGAGTGAAAAGCCGCAAACTCTTCTGGTGGACTCGATCGTTGAGGCCTTAGACCGAAAGCAGGTGATGTTGTCTGCCATCCTCTGGGCAGAAGAAGATCGGCTGGCCCAGCTCAGCGCAGATCGCAGGGATCAGAGCGGTGAACTTGAAGTGGTCGAGAGGACTGTGCTGAGTCTTGAGAAGGACGTTGGCGAGTTGAGAACGGTCATACGTAGCATGAGGTCTCATCTTGACGAGGACAGGTTCGGGAGATTTGGGGCTAATGTCTTACCGCCTTTCCAGGGTGATCGTGTAGGTGAGGGATCGAAACATCGATGTGCTATGATGCAGACCAGCGCGGACAGCGCGGAAACCGACAAGCCACCTCAGGACCATGAGAACAGCGGCATTCCGGATGAGTTTCTTACTTCCAGGTCGGTCACTCTTCAGGAAGTCCAAGAGAACTTGGATGAGTGGATCGAGCCACTTCGAGATGAGGTCAATGCCTTGGAGTATGTGCACGAAGCAGTTGAGAGTGTTACCGAACGTGAACTTCAAGACTTGGAGAAGAAGGGCTTCACCATCGAGCGGATACCGGGTCGCGGGGTCTTCGTAGTCAAGGCAGGGACTGGGCGAAAGCGAGCCAGGATTGTGGCCTGCGGTAACTATCTGGATCCATCGAAAGGTGTCAGCGCCGGGGGAGTCGAAAGTCATTCTCCTACACTCCAGGAATATTCCACGTTTGCAGCAGGTTTAGACAGGACTGCGTTCAGAGCACAACTTCGGATGGCAGCTCTCAACAAGTGGAGCGCAGCGGGACTGGACGTCAAGACGGCGTTCCTGAGAGCTCCATTGGGGCCGGTGCTACAAGAGCGACACCTGATCGCGGTGAAGCCGCCCGCGATATTGGTGCGCGCAGGAATCGTGAAAGCTGGTACATTCTGGCTAGTTCGCAAGGCGGTGTACGGCCTTGCTCCTGCTCCGAAGGCATGGAGCACGTACCGAGACGGCGAACTTCGACAGAAGAAATGGACTGGCAGTCAGGGGGGCAGCTTTGAGTTTCGCCCTATGTACAGTGACCCATCGCTGTGGGAGGTGCTGTGTAGCGGTCAGGTGGTCGGACACCTGGGCGTTTATGTGGATGATTTGTTGATCACTGGTTCAAGGTATGCGATCAATGAAGCGATCCAAGCAGTCCGCAGCTTGTGGGAGACATCTGAGCCGGAATGGATCGATGAGCCCGGTGGCTTGACCTTCTTGGGCGTTCAGGTGCGGCGAACAGCTGAGGGAGACTATGTGCTCAATCAGGTCAAGTACGCTCGAGAGCTGCTGTCAAAGTATCCTCAGGTTCAAGCAGGGTCATGGGTGCCGATGCTCAAAGAGGACGTGGGGGAGCCAGAGCAGCATGTCACCGCGGAGGACCGCCGACGAGCCCAAGGCATCACAGGTGAGATGAACTGGCTGGCGTCAAGGACACGTCCTGACCTGGCGTATGTCGCCAATCGGATGAGCCAGTGGATCCCGAAATGGCCACGACATGTCTACAAGGTGGGTTGCCAAGCTCTCAGGTATCTTCGGAACACAGCTGAATATGGACTCAGGTTTTCAGCAGAACCAGAACGCCAGTGCCAGGAGGGATGGTCTATGACTCCATCAGTGGAGCAGCTCATGGTGTATGCTGATGCGTCGTACGCACCGCTAGCCGAGCCGAGCCAGACCGGAGCAATCCTGCTCTGGGCAGGCTCACCCATCTCTTGGGTGAGTTCGAAGCAAGCTCTGACGACTCTATCCACGGCTGAGGCAGAACTCCTTGCCTGTGTTGAAGGTCTTGTCCTCACTGATGCTATCGAACCTCTAGTAGGAGAGCTCCTAGGCAAGCCCCCCACCAAACTGCTCCTAAACGACAACATAGCCACCTCAAAAATCCTCTCCTTCAGTAGCGGATCATGGCGAACCAGACATTTGAGGATTAGGGCGCGGGTGTGGCGTGAACGGATAGAGGCTGAAGAGTGGAGGGTGCGTCACGTGAGTGGAGATCAGATGCTCGGTGATCTTCTCACTAAACCGTTTGTGTGGAGTAGGCTATGCGACCTGATACACCAGATTGGGCTGTGGACGGGAGGTACAAGCGGGGCACAGGATTCGACCACGGGAGGGCCTAAGCATGGGGAGCAGGTTCTAGCGGCGAAAAAGGTCTTGGGGGTCCTGTGCTTTCTCCAGTGCGCCTCCTTGGCCGAGGGTCAAGTCATGAACACGCTGAAGCATGCATGCGAAACTGTGTCTGTTTTCAGTGGGGTTGTGGTCCTGTTGTGTTGTCTGGGGGGACTGGTCGGGTTGGGTCTTTGGTCACGACGTGATTCCGCCACGGCCAACCTGGATTGCCGGGTTCATCAATGGGGTCCTAAGGATGCACGGTCCCAGGACGATGACGGTGAGGAAGATGGTCAGTTGATGTGGGAGGGCGACTCTTCGTGGCATGAGACGTGTGAACCCCCGACACAAAACCATGAGCCTCCACCAGTCTCTGAAAGAACCTCAACAGTAGGGTATCCGTCTCGAACCTCTCCTTGCACGAAGTGGCTTGCGGGAATTGTGGCTTGGACACAAGTTCAGGCATCGCGAGGGGTGAGAGAGATGGATGGGTCAATCGAAAGCATTGAGACAGCGGATTGGACACTCTGCATATGGACTATTTTTTTGCTGCTTGCTTGGGAAGGGTTTAAAGTGGGAATGAACAAAATGCTATCCGTTTTACACGGGAAGCGCTCAGCTCAGAAGGAGCATCGATGCACAGGGGTACAGCACCAAGCGGTGCAGACGGAGGGCTTGAGTAGGAGTAGATATGGGGTGGAACTCGTCCCAATCAATAGTATTCCTCCAACGGTCCCCCCTGAACTTCCTATCTTCATCACCCGAGGGCCGCATATCAAGAAGGATACTTTTGAAGTCCGTGAAGATCTTAGGGCATTGATCCGATGGCACGTCAAGCCACGTATGTATTCCTTCAACCCTCACCAAGCAAAGCTCCCCATCTCACCAGACAGACTTCAAGGGACTCGACAGACCGTCTGTGTCAACAATTCCCAGAATCGCTATGTGGTCATCGACGTTTGGAGCGTCGCGGATCATGTCTTCCAGACACAGGCACGGCAAGAGGCATGGACGGGATATACCCTCTTTTACCTTATTAGTCCCTAATGGTGGTTGGGTTCAGATTCGCTTGAAACGGAGCTCATCTGAGGGGGAGTATGTAGAGAGGCACAGGTTTGTATAGTTCAGAGTGCCAACTCCGAAGGATGGCCCAAAGAGCGCAAGGATGACACGCACAAATCAAGGAATGTAAGCGTACCAGAGGTACCATTCCCAAGGCTCCGTTTTGGGATGCCATGTTGTGTAGACAAAATCTTTCAAGTCAAGATCTTTTGTTGCTCGCTTCTGGCCTTAGTGCTAAAAGTCCGTCGGGCAGTGATTGGCCATTCGCATCTTCCGCCTCATCCGCTCCTACCACGAGCATGTCATCAGGCCAGAGTATTTCTCGCTCATCTGTCAGCTGGAGGTGGGGCTGAAAAGCCTGAGCGACGGCATTTTCAGTGTGAGGAAGGAGTTGTCTTGGATGGCTTCAGACAACCGCCAGCAACAAAAGTATGCTTGCGGAGTTCAGCTTCTTACCACTGGATGGCCCAACGCTCTTCCGCCTGCAGATAGAGAATACATGGTGGGTTGGCTTCTTTCGGGTGCAGCAGTTCATGCGAGAAAGGGGCTACATCAACGACCACAACGCGCACGAGATGAAGCGTTGGTAGGAGGCGCTGAGCACGGACCCAGTGACGATCCCACAGGGCAACAACTTCTTCTCCACGATGACGCTTTTGACTTTTAAGTCTTACGCGCTCCGAACAGCGGTGCTGCAGCGTTTCGGGGGAGGGGCACACCAGTTTACAAGGACGAGGCAACACCTGTCCACAACCACCATTTAAAGGTGGCACCTTGCAGCCCTCAATGGCAACGCAAGCTTGAAGCCCCCCTCCGCGTTCTGCTCAGTTGTATAAACGCACACCCTGACCACAACGCCCGCTCTCGCCTCACAATTTTGTGGAAAACTTTGACGTTGCTAGAGCCCAAAGTCGGTGATGACTTCCAAGAGGACATCACCGCATGGGCACGTCTTTACTATTTCCAGGAAAACGGCGAGTTCAAGGGCAGGTTGGAGGTCGTGCAAGCCTTGCAGGACATTTTGCAGTCCAAGCCCTCAGACCACAACTCCACTGAGCCCACGTTGCGGTCTGAACAATGGAAGAAAGTTTTGTGGGGTGCCCAATTCGAACTAGACCAAGCCGATGCTGCGGCATTTCAAGCGGCAAGGTCTAACGCCGCAGTTTCAGGGAAAGGCCTGCAACTGGGTAAAGGAGGCCGCCATTGGTCGTCGGCGGCGATTACGCGAACTGGCACGAACCGTATCCGTTCAAGCTAGAGGCTCCTGTGGTTTCGAGGGTGCATTTTAGCTGGGACGAAATGTGCGACAAGTTCCGGGCTGAGTCCCATAAGATTGGGGACTACAAGGTGGCCACAGCCCAAGGCAAACCACCCCCCAATGCCAGCAATCTGCTCAACGCTGCGGCGGAGGATGGCAGCTCCCAAGTCCCAATCACCCCGACCACAACTTTTGGGAAGGGCCGGCCAAGCGGCTACTCCTTCGGTAGGTCCGGGAACTGGAATGGCCAAGGCCTTTACAGTGCCAGCTCGGGTGCTCGTGAAGACAGTTGATGGTTTGGCTCCCGAAGGCACCCAAACATTTTGCAGAGCACGATTTTAATTCGGGGCGAGGATGTCTGGTTTGCCACATTTGAATTTTCTGAATCGGCAAGCCACGAAGTCCACAACGCCGAACACCGCCTCCTCGAGGCGCGCCGGGAGCCCCTCCTTTTGAGGGCCACGGAGAGTGTACCCCCAATAGGGGCTGCCAAAACCTCAGGGACGTAAGGCCCGACGTGGGGCTTATCGTCGCTGGCGGACGAGTGGTATTCAGGCACAGGTGAAGGGGCCGGGCCCCCCCCACCTTGCAGCCCCCCGGCCCAAACAAGCCGCTCCTTCCAGGGCGTGGTTTCACCACGCCATTTATTGGCAGGAACACTTTCGGCGCAGGAAGGGTAGGAAGGTAATTAACTTTCCGACCACAACGCCTTCAAGCTACAATAGGAAGCTCAAATTTGGCTCCCTGAATGTTCAGGGTTTTGCAGACACCCTGAAACTTAAGAACTCGCTTCAAATCATGAAGGAGCATGATTTAGATGTTCTTTTCTTGTCAGAGACCAAAACCACTTCCAATTACTCCTATACCTCGGAAAACCATCTAGTGAAACTTTCGGGTACTAATAAAGATAGATATGCCGGGGTTGGGGCCATCATTGCCCCCAGAATAAGACCACACCTCCTAGATGTTATCCAAGTTAATTCCAGAATCATTCATCTTGCTTTCAAAAAACAAGGAGGGAATGTACATGCAATAGGAATATATGCTCCCCATTCTGGATTGGACTTAGAAGAACTCAGACAGCCATTTTGGGATACATTGGAGCAACATGTTTCAAGGATCCCACAACCAGAACCAGTTTACATCACAGGCGATTTTAATGTCAGATTCCAGGCCAGGCACAGAAATGACCAAGGAGTCCTATGTCCCTTTGTGTACGGTAAGGGCCCTCGGGCCATTGACCACAACGCTCCCTCTAACCGTTCGCTTTGCGTTCGAAATATGTCGCTACTAGGAATGGTGGAGGCCGCCAGTTACAAAACTCCTAATCTCATGGAACAAATCACGTACAGGGAGAAAGCGGCACCTCCTAAAGACTGGTCGCAGTTTGTCATGGATCCTCTCCCGCTCTTACAGGTCTACGACAAGATGTTGCACACTATGGGTGAACAGAGTCTTAAGGCTGCTGCAATCACTAGATCCTTCTTGGACATTCCCTCTTTGCTACCCCCTCAAAAATTGGAACCACAACTAGACCCTGTTCGTTTTCAACGACTCGACCACTTGTTTGTAAGGAAGCAATGGCTTGGTACGGTTCAAAGTTGCCGCTCAAAATTGTATACTGGCTTCCCCTCGGACCACTACCTTTTAGTAACGAGTGTTAAGGTCAAGCTGGCAGCCAGACAGCCAAAACCCCCTTACTCGACCACACCTCCACTTCCAGAAAGACCCAAGAACGGTTAAAGAGTTCAACGCTATACTTAGAGATATTCTGGAAGAAGCCTCCTCTCCGACCACAACGCCAGATCAACCTATCCCGTTAACGGAGCGCGAGAGGCTCCGGCACAAAGGGTAAGTGCAGCAGGCACTCCCCGGCTGGATGGGGGTTTTGCTATAAGAAGGGTTGCGACGAGTGGCATCAGGCCTCAGGGCCGGTGGTCACGGATCCTAACCACAACGCATACAGAGGGGCTCAGTGTGGATCTAATAACACAGGGGAGGGTACCGCTATCGTAGAAGCCCTGTTACATGCTCACCAACAACAATGGGAACGACTTACTATCTTTTCAGATAGTCAATGGGCCATTAAGTGCATCACAGGAGTTTGGAAGGCTAAAAGGCATAAGCCGCTTATAAACTTCGCCAAAACCCTATCTCAGACCACAACGCTTAAAGTTTCTTTTCATTGGGTAAAAGGACACTCGGGGTAGGAAGGAAATGAGTTAGCTGACAGGCTTGCAGAAAAGGGAAAGATGTCCCCCTCTAGATCGGGCACCACGGCAGAGATTCCTCAGGGAGAAGAGCTCAAACCGTATCAAGACGAGCGGAGGCGGCACAGGACCACAACGCAAAAACCCTAAGAAACAAGGCAAAAAGAATGGCGCGCAAGGACAGGATTGCTTGGATTCACGACAGACTCACTACACAGGAAGGAGCCCCCAGGGAAGGCATGTGGACCACAATCCGACAACAAAACGAGGCTTCCAGGGAGCCAGGAGGCACTTGTGCGAGAACGGAAAGCCGATTCCTTGGTCCCAAACACACGCGGCCTTTAAGCGTCACTTGGAGCAGAAGCAGTGGGCCTCTCGGGTGTGCGAAATCTCAGACAATTCACCGTACCGGTACTACGCGCTCAGAGCACCGATTCCGGTAACTTTACAATCGAGGAACTTCAATCCGCGTTAAGTAGGCTACGCCCAAATAAGGCGCCCGGGCCGGATGAAGCTGTAAATGAACTGTTCCTCCTTCTCGATGACCACAACCAGCTTTCACTCCTACAGTTTTATAATGACATTTGGCATAAAGGCGAAGTACCTCCAGACTGGAAACAGGCCATAGTGAGGATACGATGTGGACCCCGCCAATTACCGCCCTATCACCCCCAGACTTGCTGCTATACACGAGGAGGATCTCCGCAAAAACGCAGTACGGCTTCCGTGCCTCTAAAAGCACGTCGGACCCACTTTTCATATTACGCCGCACCATGGAACAATAGCACGCACCTTCTGTTTCTTGATTGGAAACAAGCGTTCGAGTCTATTGACCACAACGCCATGATCACAGCCCTTAATAGGTTCGGAGTTTCTCAAAAGGCTCTAGATACACAGTCCATCTACAAGGACCCTATCTTCTATACTAGGAACTTCACGGGGCAGCAGGAGGAGGGCAGGGTTGGGTCGGGCATAAGACAGGGCTGTCCCCTCAGCCCATACCTTTTTATAATGGTGCTTACGGTTATCATGGAAGACGTCGATTACACCATTGCAAGCCAGGGAATAGCCACGAATACATGGTCCATAGGAAAACCTATATACGATCTCGAATACGCGGATGATACGCTATTAATTTCTTTGACCACAACGCAAATGCAAACATGTCTAACAGCCATTGAAACTCAGGCGTCCTTTTGCGGCATGAGCCTCAACCAAGAAAAAACGGAACTTCTGATTGACACGAGAAAGCCACCAGTCACACTAAGGTTCTCAGGGGGGGAGGAGGTCCCGACCACAACGCAAATCAAGTACCTAGGATCCATGATAGCTTGGGATAGACCCTTCGAAGCCGCCTTCAGACATCGAGCAGGTATTGCAGAGTCTTCTTATAAAAAGCTTAGGTTGATTTGGAATAGCAGACTCAGCCGCAGAGAGAAGCTTAACATATTCCAGCTGGTTTTCACATCCACGCTCATATATGGATTAGACTCTCTCACACTAACAGAAAGACAGCTGCACAGAATCGATGCCTACCATTTTCGATTCTTACGAAGAATCATCAATATGAAGGCCTCATTCTACTCACGAATCCCCAACACTGAAGTTTGGAGGCGAGCCGGTTACCCACAACGCCCCTCAGACATCCTTTGTAAGCTGCAGTACAAAAGGATGTCGCAAGTGTTCCAATGCCAACTCCCAGGACCCTCTGCATCACGTAGTCTTTAGCCCGGGATTCAAAGATAGAATACAAGCTATGGGCAGGCGTAGAGGGATGAAAATCTTACTCCCTAAACCCTATTTCCTTAATTTCATTCCCTGAAGAGGGGGGTTTCCTTATTTCCTATAGAGGAGAGTCCCTAAATCCTAAAGATAAATCCTATTCCCGAAGTCCTTTACGCTACGCCCGAAAAATGCAGGTTTTCCGGAAATTTTCTGGTTTTCAAGCACAAAACGCGGGTACATGGGTGGGGGGGTAGCATATATGTATATGTATATATATATACTTATATACATATGTACATGTGTGTGTGTGTGTGTGTGTGTCTTATATACATATGTACATGTGTGTGTGTGTGTTGTGTTGTGTGTGTTGTGCTGTGTGTGTGTGTGTGTCTTTTCGTTCGCTCTCTTAAAGTGTTGTTGTTTGTTGTGCTCTTGCTGCTTTTGTTGCGTGTTCTTGTGCCCGCTGCAAGCTCGCGCGGCTTCGGGCTCACGACGTGGGATCCCCGAAGCCGAACTTGGGCAGCTCCGGGTGGACCCCATCCTGGGTGCGGACGGCTGCACGAGAATCTCTGTTTTCGGCCGAGGCGCGCCTCCTTCTCGTTCTCCTTCTTCAAGACCTCTCCACGCAATGCTGCAATGCTGAGAATTGAGAAAATGGGGAGACTGTTAAAAAAGAGAAAAGAAGAGAGAGAAAAAAATAGAGAGAGAGAGAGAGAGACTTCCGGAGATGGCCTCCAGCCACCGGGAGGTCCAGGGATTGTGGTCCAGGGAGCCCAGAATCTCTGTCGTCCGCTGCAAAAGCCACGTGATCAGCTTGGCCTCTCTCACTGTGACTCGAATCTGGAGACCTTCTCTCTCTCTCTCGCTCTCTGATTTTTTGATTTTCTCATTCTCTGACTGAGGGAACGGAAAGGGAAATCTCCCCCCTCCCCCCCCACCGTAGCTCTGCCCCTGCGCTTTTGCGCAAGCGCCTGGTCCGCCGGGAGCTGGCTGTAGCGCATGCCTCAAAGAGCAGCACTCTAAATTCACTGATATCACAAGCGCGCACAAAATTGCGCTCACAAAGCGCCCACAAAGCTCAAGCAGAGAAAGAGAAGACAGGCCTGAGGCCTGAGAGGCCTGAGAAGCTCGCTGAGTCGCAAAAACCAAAATTTTTTGCTTCTGTTCTCGCTTCTTCCTGCCCGTTCTCCCAACTGCTCAATCTTCTTCCTTCCTTTTCTCTTCTTTGAGAACCCTATCGCCCCTGCCTCGGCTGCCGACCGTGAAGGTGTCGAAGTCTGAAACAACAGGCTTCACGTGGGCCTCCGCGTACCTCTGCCCCACGAGAGCTGCAAACAACTTCAAAACAACTTCAAAAGAAGGCGCTGCTGTGCAGTGCACAGCTCAGCCGCTTAAAGCCTCTCCACACAATTGTTGAGCAGCAGTTGTGCCTTCTTCGTTTTGCCCAAAAATCATGAGCTTGCATCTCTTTCTCTTACCTCTCCGGTCTCGGGAAAACTGCGCCGCTGCGCGCCCTCTTCTTCTCTCGAGGACTCTTCTCTCTCGCTCTCTTTGTCTTTGTGTCTTTTGCTTTTTCTCCTCTCTTCATCTTGTGTTTTCAAGAGGGTTGCTTTTTCATGAATAGTCACTTGTAGTCTTCGGGGACGTCGTTTAAGGAAGGGGAGGTGCTCTTTATGACTTTGTGCCCCCTGCAGGGATGCCCCGGGATGTTTTGGGACGTTTTGACACGTCACAGTAAACTTTCTCTCAACCTTCCTCCCTCAACCTTTCTTTGATAATGTACTTCGAGAAACTGGCTCTCTCTTTCCCCGTCTTTCTACCTCCCTCTCGAGTCTCTATCCGTCTCTGTCTTTCCCTCTCTTCTTGGGGGGGCATGAGGGCCGGAGCCCCCCCCCCCCACGCGATCCGGGCGCGCCCCAGCGCGCGATCTCTCTCTCTCTCTCTCTCTTTCTTTTTCTCTTTCACACACTTCTTCCCATGAAAGAGCAGGGCACGCGATGAGCAAGCCCCGAGGGTTCATCGGGTCACTCTCGTCGTACTGGTACAGCACGACCTCTGTCAGAGAAGAGGAGAGAGAGCAGCACACCCCTGAGTCAGAGTCTGTTCTTTCGTGTGCTCTCTCCATCTAGTGGTTCGTTCTCATGTCTATAGTGTTCTCTCTTTCACGATTTTCTCTCTCTTCATCTCTTTCTCTTTTATCCCCAAACCCTCTTTTCCCCCATCCTGCGGCTCACTCTTCCCGCGGATGGCGTGGAGGTTCATGTCCATGAAGGCCGGCTCCGAGCGCCGCCCCGTCTCCCAGCCTTGTTGAAAGAGAGAGAGAGAGAGAGAGAGAGAGAGAGAGAGAGAGGGAGAGGGAGAGGGAGAGGGAGAGGGAGAGGGAGAGGGAGAGGGAGAGGGAGAGGGAGAGGGAGAGGGAGGGAGGGAGAGCGAGAGAAAGCGGGGAGAGGGGGGAGGGGAGAGGGTAGAAACAAAAGCAATGAGACGCTATGTAGCTTAAGGTTATTGTGTATGTAGAAAAAAATTCGAGTCGTGCAACACCAAACGATGTCACAGCAACAAGAGAAGCCCCACAATGAACTTTTCTCCAGAAAGTCAAAGAGGCTTTGACTGTCGGACGGGCGTATGTGGTTTCAAAGAAGCTTGAGAGTGACAATGAACCAACGAACAATGGAGCGTCAACACACATTGAGAACTTTCCCCAGGCCGACAAGTATACTACAAACATCGTCAATTCTGGCAGGGCTTTTGGGTCAGCTGTGCTTCCATCTCCTACAGCAAGGACTAGCTGACTAGCCAGTATTTTTTCGTAACCGCATGAGCGAAGTGCTCACCTGCAATGCGTGGTCGAGATCTACGTGGCGTATTACTTGTATTACTTGTATTACTTGGCTATTACTTGGCTATTTCTTCTAGATCCTTGGGGGTGTCTCAAGATGAGTGGTTTTGTGGTTTTGCATGGCATGCCATGCGTGGCCCTGAGACCTCCGTAGCCTAAGCAGGTGGATACCGGATACCACCATTGCAGCAACTGACCAGGACAAGTCGGCAGCACTTTTGGGGGGGAACCTGCCCGTGCGAGGCCCAGATAGGCCAAAACAACCCGGGACGGGACATCGATGTGTCAGACTTGGCAGGACTTGGCAGGAGTGGTGCGTTGGCTGCAGCTACGGGCATGCTGAGGATTCTGCGCCTCCGGTGGCGCGAGCACGACATGCCGTCAGAGTGCAGCACCGCACCGTACACTGTCAATGAAATCCTTCCTTTTCTTTCGTGGTGTGTGTGCGTGTGTGTGTGTGTGTGTGTGTGTGTGTGTGTGTGTGTGTGTGTGTGTGTGTGTGTGTGTGTGTGTGTGTGTGTGTGTGTGTGTGTGTGTGTGTTCTTTTGGTCTTTTAAACTTTTTTCCGGGGAGGGGGGTTTCTCTTGAAGCTCCCCTGATTTTCGTTTCTGTGCCTACTCTTCCGTTAAAGAGCAACAAACAGAGAAAGAAACGGCGCCTCTCTTTCTCTCTCTCAGTTTTCCTGCATCTCCATGGAGGAGGGGTGGGTTCTCTCAAAAAGGGGGCGAAGTTCTCCCTCTAACTGGCTCAGAGAGAAAGAGACGTGTCTTGGGAAACGTAAAAAAAGGAGAAGCGTGCTTTTCTGGCATCTTCAGATCCCGGGAACGTGTTTTGAAAGAGGGAGGCTCTCGAACTCTCCAGGACTCCACACAAAACTACGACACCTACCTCTCAGATCTTAACTAACACAGATATAAATAAATGGTACCCCCCCCCCCCCCCCCCCCCCCCCCCCCCCATATGCTCACACTTTTCCCTCTCAGGTGCCATGGTAGGGTTTAGAGGCTTAGGATTTCGAAGCCTCCTAGGGCAGCGAGCACGAAAGCGCTCTACTGCACCAATGCTTTCGGCCCAAAAGAGCAAAAACGCTGTACTGTCCCCAAAAACAAATGTTTTGAAGCCAAACCGAGCAAGAATGCTGTACTGTCGCAAAGAAACCAAAAAACCAAAGTTTGGCGACCTCCAGGCCCTGGAGGAGCCCAAGCTCTCCAAACTTTGTTTTTTTTGGTTTTTTTGGGACAGTACAGCATTTTTGCACGTTTTGCTTTAAAGCGATTGGTTTTTTTGGGACAGTACAGCACTTTGGAGGCCTGGGACTGCAAGAATGCCGTACTGTCCCAAAAAAACCAATGTTTTTGAGCCAAAACGAGCAAAAATGCTGTACTGTCCCAAAAAACCAAAGCTCTCCAAACTTTATTATGTTTTGGTTTTTTTGGGACAGTACAGCATCTTTGCAATTTTTGCTCTAATGAGATTGGCTTTTTTGGGACAGTACAGCACTTTGGAGGCCTCGGACTGCAAAAAACGCTATACTGTCCAAAAAAAACCAATCTTTTCAGCGGATTCACATTATTTTATACAGGAGTCCTATTGGTTCCTATTCATTTTCGTAAGATTCCTTCTCATTTTAACAGGATTCCGATGAATTATAACCGGTTCTTTTCAATTTGGAAAGGGTTCCTGTTCATTTTAATAAGCTTCCTATTCCCTTTTATCGGTTCCGAAAAATATTGGCAGGATTCCAATGACTTCAATAGAGGATTCCTATTTATGTTTATAGGATTCCAATAAAGTTTCCATAGGGTTCCTAATTAATCCAATAAGGCTCCTACTAATGTAATCAGATTCCTATCAATTTTAGGGTCCTTATTCATGTTAATGGGATCCGTATTAATTTTCATAGGGATCTCATTCGTTTGAAAGGGATTCGTATTGGTTTAGGCTCATATTCATTTAGTAGGATTCCTATTAATTCTTGTTAAAGGAATCTTATTTTCCTATTAGTTCCTATTAATCTTAATAAGAATCCTTCTCATTTTAGTCAGATTCCTATGAATTACCACCGCGTTCTTTTTGATTTGTTAAGGTTCATTCCAATAGGCTTCCTAAAAGCTGTTGTCCGAAAACAATTTGATAGGATTCTATTGACAGTCCCCCCCAATTTCCTGGACCTCAAACACCATCAAACACCCTTAACCCCTTTAACCTCCCTACCGTCGGTCGGCCCGGCTGCCGAGGCGGCGCGCGCAAGCGTTTACAATTAACAGACCGAGAACGCCTAGGTTGAAGCGGCCGCTGAACCGTAATCTAAGCCCAAGCCAAACCCCAAACCGTAAACCCCAAACCCGAAATCCTAAACCATAAATAAGAGTTTGGGTACTGGAGGAGGGGAGGGGGTTAGGGAGGAGGGTGGGTAGGGAGGGGTGCTTTTGTGTGTGGGCCTTCCTTTTTGTTCCTGCTCGCCCCCCCTCCGCGCCGCACCCCCCTACTTTGACGGGGTTTGAATTCATTCGTTGCTTAACGCAGCCTGCACGGCGAAAATTAGGAGGAAAAGGGCCTCGCCACTGGGGAAAAAAGGGGCCACAGCTGGGAGGAAAAAGCACCACAGAACCAAGAGGGGGCCCGCCAGACCGAGGAAATTTTCCCACAGCTGGGAACAAGAAAGCACCGGACCCGCATGGGTTACCAAAAGACTCATGTATGTGATTTGAAGATTTGGGCTCTCTCTTGGGAGGCTTCGCTCTCCCCTCTCTCCTCCTTGGCTTCGGGCCCATGACGGGCGTCAGGTCCGAGCGAACGATGTACATCTCGCCTCGGAAGGGACTCTGCTCACAAAAAAGCACAGTGCAACACAAATGCACTGCTCAAGCTCAAGCAAGAGCCTAAAAATAGAATTGTAAGAAGAAGAGACCCATCTCTCTGACATGAAACATATCACGAAACATTGAACAGATCCCTGCAATGCACATCGCGAGCAGCTGCTCAGTCTTTGTATGCCATGTTAAAGAACTACCAATGGAGAAAGGGAGCCTTTTTTGTGGAGTCTTTTGCGGGACACCATGGAAGTGCAGTGGCCATGGCTCCTACTTTATCTCCTCATGGGGCAGCCGATGGCTAGTTCGAACTTGTGAGGGCGACTTCGACGGAACGACTTCGCTGGATTCTTCGTGGCGATTGTTCGCGCTGATCAGCCTGATTGTCTCGGCTCCTCGCGGATCAGCGGCTCCGGCAGGTCCAGCCCCCAGCTCTCGGGCCTCGACTCGGAAGGCATCTCTTGACTCAGACGTTTGCTTCTTGCTTTTTCTCTGTTTCCCTCTGTTTCCCTCGGTGCCCCCTCGCAGCATATGTAAATATGATTTAGATTATTCCGTCAAACACGAGGGAGGGGGTCCGGGACACGGAGGGTCCGCCGGGTCCACCCCGCTCTCCGTTCGCTTTCTGTGTGCTCTCTGTCTTGCAGAAAAAAACGAGCGCGCCCAGTCCACTCGGTGCATCCTTTCGGTGGGCTTGGGTGTGATACATATGGCCATGTGCGGTACATGGTCGACTCGCCTCCTGCTTATCCCCGAGCACCTTCGTGTTCCTTAGAATTCCTTAGTCATAAGCCCCGTGTTATCTGTTTTCTCCGAAGCTCTCTCTCTTCTTCTTCTTCTTCTGCTTCTTCTTCTTCTTCTTCTTCTACTCAGCGAAGAAGTCCCCGAGAAGGGGGACCCCGGTCGCGCGGGCCCGCTGCGTCTGTCCTCTGTGAGCTCTCTCTCTCTCTCTCTCTCTTTCTCTCTCTGAGTTCTCTGTTGGGGACGGCGGCTGGAAGTCGTCCACGTGGCGGATGGACCGGTCCTGACAGGCGAAGCAAGATACGAGGCAGTCGACATGAGAGAGGCTGTTGAAAAAAGATCATTCTCAAGCAAAATATGAGGAGACCCCATACACACACACACACCCACCCACCCACCCCCCTACACAGAGACAGAGACAGAGACAGAGACAAAGACAGAGACAGAGACAGAGACAGAGACACAGACACAGACACAGACACAGAGACACACACACACACACACACACACACACACACACACACACACACACACACACACACACACACACACACACACACACACACACACACACACACAC